ACTCCTGGTTAGAGGGTCAAAACCCAGGTGATCCTGTAAGAATGACTATACAGAACTGGCTCACCTGAGGACATGAGGTTTTCCCTAACCGTGAAAGGTGGGAAGTGAAGTCCTTAAAACTGCCGACTCCAGGTACTTACCCTGGGTCTGTGACCTAGGAATAGGGTGTAGACTTTGCCTCCTTCAGGACTGCTTGTCAATGTCCACAAAACCTATCACTGGATAAGAATTGTGGATTACAAGTATCAGGGTGTTTCCATGCCTGGCTTCTGGTACAGTGACTGGGAAGCAAAATAAAAGGGGGTCAGGTCCCTCTGCCTTCCAAACTCCAGACTGGCCAGTGACCTGAGTGGAGGGTGTGCCCAGCTACAGAGAAGTCTGTGAATATGACTGCAGCCTTTAAGCAGCTGCCTAGAAAGGGGCTGGCTTGGGGCGGGTGCTGATGCCAACCTCACTTCCCCCTCATTACTGCATGTTGTGGTACTGGTGAGAAAGATTGTGTAATTGTAGGGTAGACCATTATTTGTAATTGCAGGATTAGAAGCAGAGTAATTATAATGCAATAAAATAAATTATGTGATGACATGTGACCTTACATGGATCATGAATCATGAAGTTGTGTCACACCCTCCAGGAACCCCAGCGAGCATCTTGCTGAAGTTCCCCGGGGACACCGCCATGTTGGCATGTGGTGTGGGAGGAGACTTGGGTAAATGGGGTGGAATCGGGGTAAAGGGAGTGGGGTTGAGTAAGGAGGATGTGGTGAGACGGGATTGTGGGTCTAGATTAGCATGGGGTGTGGGGGTGAGCACAAGATGGTGCTAGAGTTTCGTGTAAGGATGGCAGAAGCGAGGAGAAGCAAGAGGAAATTGAAAGGTAATAGATTAGAAGGCCACAAAACGACAGCCTGCAGGCCAAGTATGGCTAGTTGTTTATTTTATCGTTTATTTTATTTTATCGTTGCAGTGAGATTTGGATAAAATTGCCCTAATTGTACCATCCAATGGCATTTAGTTGATTCACATTGTTGTACCACCATCACCAATGTTTATCTCCAGAACTTCCTCTTCACAGAAAAATCATAATTCTGTCTCCATTAAACATATAACTACTTCCCGCCCCCACCTCAACCCCCCACCCCCAGCTCCTGGCACCTGCTATCTCTTTTTTTTCGGGTTAGGGAATTAAATTTTTCTGGAAGTGTCTTTATGCACCATTGGTGGGGAATGGGTTACAAGTCCGCCCTAAGCCAATTGCTGACAAGGGAGGCGGGGCTCCATGGTTGGTATAAGCCAATCACATCTCTTCTTTATTAGGGCGCGAACATTTGACAGATGCCACAGGGGCCATCTTGGAGGCTCTCTAACTGGGTCACCTTCCCTGGTGGTTTCAACTGCTTACTGTGTGGATTTGACTCCCCTAGGGAGCTCATTTAAATAGAACTGTATTTATCCTTTTGTGGCTTATTTCACTCAATAAAATATCCTCATGGTTCATAGTTTATGTCTCAATTTCCTTCCATTTTAGGGCTAAGTAATACTCCACTATAACGCACACCACACTGTGTCTGTCTATTCGTCTGTCAGTGGGCTCTTGGGCTGCTTCCACATTTTGGCTATTCTGGATAATGCTTGAATGGACATGGGCGTGCAAATATCTCTGACATTTGTTCTCTGTTATTTTGGTTATATAGATTAAACTGCATTGCTGCATCACAGGGTGATTGATTTTTAATTTTTTAAAAGCTGCAGTTTTCCAAGTGGCTGCAATTTCTTTCTTTTTTTACTAAGTTATCGAATATGTGGACTAAAGAAACATTCTATCAGAGATGTCTCTGTTCTGGAAAAATGCTGAACTGGTAATTATAGAGGCCTAAAGTCAGCAAAAAGGAAAAAAATAAAACAGCTTACTGTGCAGAAGCCAAGCAGCCAACTCGCACCCAACTCACCCCTGTGAGTTGCAGGGAGAAGGAACCCTGGTCAAGCCACCCTACCTGGCTTCATGTTTGCAGAAGCAGTCTCCAGGATGGAAAAGGATCTTTACAAGCTGCAGTTCCTGTGCTATTCTCACCAATAGCAGAGTAAGAGAGCATATTTGATCTTCTATATAAAAGTTTGCCTGTCATTAACCAAGACTGTAATCAGCTGTTTCTTATCTCTGTTGTAGGAGAATCTTGCATCTTCTTCCTTGAGTGCATTTCACCTGCACAAACTTTGTAACTGAGACCAAAAGCTCTGGAGAGTGGTATCAGAACTCCCTGGTCTAGGTCCTATGTGTGCTCTGAATAATCCCATTAACATGCTTCTCTTTAAATTGCTTCATAGCCATGATTATTTATTACATTATTACTTATTGAAATTTCCCTAACATCAAATTAACCAATTGATGTTGTACAGCCATTACCTCTTCTTAGGTTCAAAAACATTCCATTAACCCAAAAGAGAGCACACCCTCATTAACAGTCACTCCTCACCCCTCCTCCAACCCCTGACAGCCGTAGATCTGATTTTTTTTTAAGATTTATTTATTTATTCATACAGAACTGGGGTACAGGCCAGAGATGTGGAGGGTGAGAGACTTCACCAGAGACAGAGTGGGGAGCAGAACAGGCAGATCGACGAAGGGGAGCAGCGGGCGGGTCAGGAGAGGTCTGCCACACCATGTGGTCACCTCCAGGGCGGGGATCGAACTTATGCAGAAGTGGCTTTAGCTTCTCAGTGCTGTGCTTTAACCCGCTGTGCCACCAGGGAGGGCCCGTGGATCTGATTTTTAAAATGCAGTTCAGTGATTTAGAGTCATTCACAAGAGTGTGTAGCCATCAGCAAACCCATTTTCCATAGCTCTTCAGCTTGCAGAACTGAAGTGCCACTCAGTGGGCAATAACTCCCCTTTCTTCCCCTGTCAGCCTCTGCACCCACCATTCTACTTTCTGTCTCTATGAAGTTGACTCCACTGTGGACCTCAAAACCGCAGTGTTTGTCTTTTTGTGTCTGACTTATTTCACTGGGCAGCATGCTCCCGGTCCATCTGTGTTCTAGTATATTGCTGAATTTCTTTCTTGTTAACACATATTCACACAGACCACACTTTCTTTACCTGGGCGTCTGTGAGCCGCGCTTCCATAGCTCAGCTGTTGTAACGCGCAACAAACATGGTGTCAAATGTCTCCCAGTTCTCTATGGTAGATGGCCAGAGTGGAATTTCTGGATCACAGAATAATTTCATTTTTTTTGAGGAACCTCCACGTTGTTTTCCATAGCAGCTGCACCATTTTACATTACCACTGGCAGTGCATAAGTGCTCAGCTCTTCTATATTCTCCACAACACTGGTTTTCCTAGGTTTTTTGATAGTGTCAGTCTTGGTGGGCATCGGAAGGAAACCATATATTTTTAAAAAGATTTACTTATCTATGCATTCAAGAACTGGGGAGCAGGCCACAGGTGTGTATGTGGGGGTAGAGGTGAGAGGATTCACCAGAGACAGAGTGGGGAGCAGAACAGGCAGATCGATGAAGTGCACTGCTGAGGGGAGCAGCAGGCAGGTCAGGAGAGGTCTGCCACGCCATGTGGATCTCCTCCAGGGCTGGAGATCAAACTCACACTGAAGTGGCTGCAGCCAGCTTGCAGTGCTGCATCCTGACCTGTTGTACCACCAGGGAGGGCCTAATCCTTAGTTTCTTGATTAATATTTTTTATTAACCACATTTATGTATCATTAAACTAGATCCCTGTGACTTCATCATACATATCAGATACGTATTTACAGCTTCGATATAGTTTTTGGGCCCTATAAACATGGTGTCTTCCTCTTCAGAAGTCTTCTGGGACTTGTTTTTCACTCAGCATTGTGAGATTCATTCACATGAATCCTCAGAGAAGAACCCCACTTCACACAGGGGCAGGAGCCAGCCTTTCCCTTAGCCCCGGAGTTTGGAGGCGACTTTGAGACTCCATGGAGAGGAGCAAGACAGTTTGTTTCTCACACACAGTGAGCCTCGGCTCCCAACCCCACTGGGTACCTGATGGACCTCACATTCTGAGGGACCCAGGGACAAGGGCCCAGCACCTTTCACAGGAAGTAGAAAGCAAGCCAGCTCCCCTCCATCAGGCAGTGAGCAGTCCCTCTAAGGGGCTTCACCTGTGCGCCCCCCTTTGGACCACCTGGGTCTCTGCCCCATAGGGGTGAGGGCTAGTATTTGGCAGCAGAACCTGCAGGGAAGCTCAGGGCCCCCAAGGGGTGCCTGTTTCTTCCCATATGAAGCAATCAGTTGAGGTTCATCTCTGTTCACACCATGACATCGCGGCTGTTCCCGATCTTTATGCCACATGCAAAGGTCTCTCGAGTGTGTATTTGCAGGCACTGGCACCAATGTGCTCCTTTATAGATAACGCCTGTGACTCTAGCTACTTTTCCTTCCGTTTTTAGCTGTACTCAAACCTTCCACTCCCTGTGGTGGATCCTTTTCTGCTGCTCTGGCCAAATGTAAAAGCAACTCTCGATCTTAGGAGTTCTTGAGTTTTCCCAAGGAACTCTGAGCTGAGAATCTGTTTCTGCTCCCTGTGGGATAGGGCTCAAGAACAACTTAAAATTGGTTGTAGAGAAATGAATTTTGCTTATTTGTACATCCGGATTCATGAAATGAGATTGTCATCTGCTCATCTGAAACAGGTGAATTGGGGTATGTTTGTGAATTGGCATGTATGACCCAGGCCCTTGTGTCTTATTTTGGTTGACCTAAGAGCTGCTCAATGTCCTGGATTCAAATTTGGCTCCACTCCTACAAGCTCTCACTTCCTGGGCCTCAGTTTTCCTTCTTGTAAAATGGGCTGATGCTAGCTGCTGCCAAGTTGCACCAGAGTGTGGGAAACTAGTTCAACAGTGTGTGCGGTCAGAGCCATGTGAACGCTACTCCAACGTGGGAATGAAGGCCACTGGGCGGCGGAGCTGTGATTTGCTTTTTTTTAATGTCTGCTGTTAATAAAATATTTTTAGAGACCAAAAATTCAGAATAGTGCAAAACATCTCAACACCATGCATTCATGACCACTTCTCGTTGGTTTTAAACATTTGTTCCAAGTCACATATTTACAGAGAAATGGGGCATCTGTGTAGATGCCAGACTGACAGGATGGAATTAAAATAAACAGCATTTTGATTTCACATTTGCAATCACATGCTAAGAGGTGTATGGAGGACGAACCTCCCTGGACTGTGTGGCTGGGTTTGGGGTCTGTGGGAGGTTGGGGTCAGAGGTGGGGATCCATGTCCCCCTGGCTGTGTGGCTGATGATATGCAGGGGGACACTCCGCCTGTGACCTGTGTCTCAAAAGAGCCACAGTGGCTGGGCAGGAGCGGGGATAGGAGGTCTTACTGGACACTGTCAACTTGATTTCGCTCTTTAAAAAAATTAAAAGCGAAGAGAAAAGCAACACGTGTCAGCAAAGACAACTTTGGTCCTTGACGATTCAGAGTTTGGGGCAACTCTGAACTGTCCCCACGCTGCCCCACCCCTCAGTGTCCCCATCTGTAAAATGGACAGCACAGGGGGTTAGGGGTGGGGGACAGGAAGGTCTCTGAGGTCCCAGCCGAGAGAGGTCCTAAGGATTTCTAGTTGGGTGTTAAGTTTTTTTGCATCTCTGATGGGGGGGGCACGGTGAGGTTTCAGACTCCTCGCCTGAGTCGGAGGGATTGGGGTGCATGGCCAGGCACCTCCTCACTTTATGTAAATCCTGTAAGGACAGACTGCGGAGAGTCAGAGAGAACAGCGGCACCCCCTCCTTTGAATCCCCTCTCCTAGTCACACCCCCTCTGCTTCTCCCCAGCTGAGTCTCCCTCCATTTCAAAGTCTCTCTGTCCCCACCCTGGTGTGACCTACCATTTTGATTTCTTCCCTTCTCATTTGCCTTCCCTCCCGCCCTTCCTCTCTCTGTGTCCCCATCATGTGCCTCGGTCTCTCTATGGGTCTCTCTATGGGAGACGAAGGACTGACTGACTGCTGGAGACATGGCTTACTCAGTGCCATACCCTGCCTCATCGGGGCCACTCCTACTTTATCCAATCCCTGCTCGGGGATGGGGATGGGGTCAGCTCCTGCCTCAAACCGTGGTCCAATGCAGTTCCAAGACGCTGACAGGGCTCAGCACCCCAGGCACCCGGATTAGGTGGTAAAAGCCCAGAGGTGTCCTTGGAGTAGGGCACTCTGGCCACTTGTTGGGCTTTGCTCTGCTACAGGGACTGAGTCGCGTCACACTTCCAGTCCTCTGAGTTCCCTCCCGTTTCCTTATCCCCTCTTCACTGTGGCCTTTGGCTCACCCATAGATAGTCTGGCTGGAATGCCTCAGGTCTGTGTGGGAGGGAGGATGGCACAAAGACAGGACAGATACGCCCATGGGTGCGGGGGCACACAGACCTCAGTCTCACAGACAATTCAGCTGAACACAGCCTCCCTGTCATCCCCCTGTGCTGGGTGAATTTGTGGCTCGAGAGAGACCTGGGACCCCAAACTGGGGCAAACAGGATCTGCTGCAGACACCCCCAACCCCATGACATTACAGCAAGGCCAGAGGGACAGAGGCTAGAGAAGTCCTGAGGGAGAAAGGTTTTCTATAGGAGACTTCTGTAATGGGTTTAGGGATGAATAGGAGTTCTCCAGGAAAAGAAAAGAGGAAATTTCCTACCCGGTCTAGTCTGGGAGCCAGAAAATAAATCATTCGATAAGTATTCCTAGGCTTTCTCCACATGACTGAATCCATGCTGGGACACACACACACACACACACACACACACACACACCCCTTGACCAGAGAGACTCCCAAGGAATCTTTCGGGAAATATCTTGGTTTTTTTCAGGCGGATGTTAACATCCTCTTTTCATGCCAAAATCTTTCATAGGTTAGCAGGTTCGTTCCCAAGTTACTTATCCACCCCACCTCTGCCTGTTGGATGATCAGAGTTTCAAATCTGTCCCTTGTCCCATGTGACAGAGACTCCTTGTTCCCCACTAAATCACCTTCTAGCCCGCGCTTATCCCTGTGGGGGCCTCCTTCACCCATTGTCCTGAATGAGAACTTGTGTCACAATCTGATTCGGAACCTTCAATCATTCAACCCACCTGAATTTAGAGGACACCAAATACTTGGAAAACAGCAAATCTTCTTCTAGACACATACAAAGCTTAATATCTAAGCTTTGTATGCGGCCTCCTTAGGGAGGCTGAACCCCAGGGCATGCACGCCTGGGATAAATGTGCCCTGTGACCCTAGGCTCATCTAAGGTAGGGTTTGTTTCCCCTCATCAAATACCCTTCAAATCTTTCCAATAATTAATTTCTTTGCCCATCCATCCCACCACTTTAGCCATTCTCTGTGAGAGAGCTTTTGAAACCTGAAATCCACCCTCCTTGGCTCAGATCCAACCACACAACCTTCCTGTGGTGCTTCAAGCCTACCTTTCCCAGTGTTTGCACCTGTCATTCCTTCTGCCTGGAGTGCTTTTCTCTCTCACAAGTGGTGTCATCTCATTTTTTTTACCTTCTCAGAAAGCCCTCCCTCACCTTTTGTAATCTGACAAAACCCCCACCACTCTGAGGCCAGAGATTCCCAGCTCATCCTGATTTAATGTCTGTCTAGTGCAGCACAATTCTGTATTTCCCAGGCCTGCAGAAAAACCCTTGCTATTCATGCATGGGTACAACGCAGAAAAGCAGACCCTGGGCAAAGATAAGCCACATCAAACTTTCCCAAAAGCTCTGTCTGCAGGATCTAAGAGGTGGGAAAATGACTAAGGCAAAATAGCCCCAACATTACCTGCTGGAAGGACTTTAGACAGGTAGAGGCCCCACCAGAGGCATCCTGTGACCTGGGTGTTTGAATGAATGCGTAAATGAGATTTCAAAGACTAGGCTCCAAGCACATTTGTATATTCTCACACACGTGTGTGCATACGCACAAACACACGCACACAACCCTAGAGTTTCTGGTCTCTTTCTGTTCTTTCCTGCCTGGAGAGGAAGGAGGGGTTGGGGGGGGAGGTGGTTCCTGGGTTCTGGGGATTCCATATCCTCAATCCTTTTGAGGGGAGATTAAGAGTTCTTAGGATATCTCCTCCTGGGGTCCCAGTGGAAAAGGCTGAGGGCAGGGGTTTTGCTTGGCAGCCAGAGGTGGGAGGGAGCAGTGGGGGCCTTGGCCTAGGACACCCCACACCTTGTAAGGATTGAGGAAGGTGGGGGGGGGGTTAGCAGCAATGGGAGCTGTGCCGGATCACCCGATTTCAGCCACCCTTCCGTGGGGCACACAGATCAAAGGAAAGGGGAAGAGGGCATGGCACTGGGACCCCCCTGCAGAAACGCAAGCAGTTTTCTGGGCCTCCATTCACCATCTGTCAAAGGGATGGGTTTAACGCTGAGGTGAGGACCGGGTATGTGGGGGGTGAAAGGGGTGGCAAACCCTCATTGGGAAGCGGGACAGCGCCGGTGTCCCAGAACCATCCCCTCGACCCCCAGGGTTTGGGCGCCCGAGAGAGCGCATGTGCTTTTGAAATTCCAATCCCTCCCCTCCCCATTTATTTTTTGCACGAACATCTAGACTCCGGTCCGCCCTGGGCCCTACAACAGGTATCGTAGTCCCCTAGCCCCCAGGTCACTCCAAGGGCTGCTAAGGAGGTCCTGCCCCTTGCCCAGGCCCCGCCCCTCACTGGAGCCGAATTCCACACTTGGCAATTAGTACTGGGACCCAGACTTTGGGGACCTATCTTATGGCTTTTCCTGGGGCAGGAGGCGGGGCCTCGTGCCACCACAGCCGGGCCAGCCTCCTCCGCTGGGGCGGGGCTTCCTCCCATCCCAGCTTGAAAGACCCCGCCCCCCGGCTCTACGGGGCGTGGCCTTCCGTGGGGTTTGTGGCTTCCTTATTCCTAGCGCCTGGGGCGTAGCCTTTTGAGGGGGAGAGGCGTCGTCAATTCACAGTTGCCCAGAGGAGTTAGCTAAGTGAAGGGGGCAGGCGCCGCGGGTTCTCGGCTCCGAGCCCGGGGTTCGCCCTCTGGGGTTCTGGGGTGCAGGCGCCGCACCACCCCACTCGCCCGCACTGGAGCACTGCGCCCGCCCGCGCGCCCCGCGCTAGGGCGCAGGCGCAGCCCCGCTCTCCTCCGCAGAGCGCGTGTCCGACTTGAGCTTGACGAACTCCTTGGCCACCTCGTCATTGCTGCGCTGAGACAGGATGCGCAGCACTGTGAGGCCGGTGTCGTCCATGTGGATGCGGCGGCCGAGCGGAAGCCAGCAGGCGGCACTTCCGCGCTGGGCCAGCTCACGGAGCTGCAGCACGGCCAGCCCCACCGTGCGGTCCTCACGAGCGAAGCAGTAGTCCTTGACGCACACCTGCAGCTCGTAGCACTCGGGGCCAGCGTCCGCGCTCAGCGTACTGTGGGAGGGCGGGGCGTGAGTGTGGGCCCCACCCCCTCGGCCCGCCCCGCCCCGGCCCCACCCACTAGGCCGCGCCCCCTCGGCCCGCCCCGCCCGGCCCCACCCACTAGGCCGCGCCCCGCCTCGGGCCACGCCCAGACCAGCTCTCCCTCGGGAACCTTTCCTCTTCACCCCACGCTCTCGGCCCACCAGCCCACTCCAGCCCCCAGCCCAGCCCACAGTGATGCGTCCCCCCATATCCCCCCATATCAGGCCATGCTCCCATCACTGATAACCAATGATGGTTCAGCTGCATTCCCCACACCGCGAAGCCCCCTGACCAAGTTCCCACGATGTGACCCCTGCCGCATGGTCTCTAGCTCACTCCTCCAAGACTTGATGTCCGCCCACGCCGACATGCTTCACCCTTCCTCTGGGGATTGCGTCCCCAGCTCTGATGGAGAGCCCCCTCCTTTCTGATCAGGTCCACATGCCTCCTTGTGGATCCCCTCCCAGTCTCCCAGTCCTCAGGTAATTTCTCACACTCCAGGACTCATCATCACCACCCCACTAGCTGGTGCTCTTGATCCCAACCCACCAGGCAAAGTCTTCTGACCAAAAGCCCCCTCCTGACATCATTAGCCCACCTTTTCTCCCTCAGGGGCTCCCAACAATGTTGATACCTCTTTACGCTCTGCACTTCTGTCCCCCAAGAGTACACCCTGCCAGTGTTCCCATACCCCAGTGAGGTTAACACTTGACCCAGAGACCCCCCCAACTAACCAGATACCTGGTCCAGGTAACCTCTCCCTGTACTTGACCAGATTTCTTCATGACCCCTCACATTCCAGGTCACCTGCCCTTTAGGTTAGGCCCCTGCTCATGAGGAAACCCCATCTTCTCTCCAGCCTCACCCCACATGACAACCACCCTGTGCCCTGCCCCTCAGAACAGATTCCCCCACATGACCTGCCCAACAGCCCTGATAGGGTCCTGCCCTGATGGAGGCTTAGATTAGCAAATTTAGGATGGAGGCTTCACAGTGCCAAAAACTGGAGGTGTGGATACAAAAGGTTAACACAGTCATTAAGCCAGTTACAGAAGTGAAAAATCCTTAGGCACAGGAAATCTTTAGGCAAGGACTATAGCAAAGGAGACTGTGGGTCCACAAAGGAATGAGCTCCCACAAAAAGCCACTATAGAAGAACAACTCCCAGGTCCTCCCTGGTGGGCAACAGGTTAAAGCACAGCCACTGCAGCACAAGTTTGATCCCCCACCCGGAGGTGACCCACGTGGCACCGCAGACCTCTCCTAACCCACCCCCTGCTCTCCTCAGCAGTGTACTTTGTCGATCTGCCTGTTCTGCTCCCCACTCTGTCTCTGGTGAGGCCTCTCACCCCCATACCTGGCCTGTACCCCAGTTCTTGTGTGCAGAAATAAATAAATCTAAAAAGAAAAAAAAAGAACAACTCTTGCCCTGGCAAATGCAGTTCTAGTCCTAAGACCATCTGCTGTGTCTATACTGGCATTGCTTTTAACAAATCTCTTCCTCTGAAAAGCAGCAGCAGCCCAGCAGCACCTGTGTCCATGCAGGTGCCTTTTTCCTTTCTCCTCTTCCTAACAGAACCGTTCTTTTAAAGTGCAGCCTGTGCCTGTATGAATTGATGCAAATAACTTTCCTTAGAAAGTCGCGGCTGAAAGGGTACTCTGAGGAAGCTCCTCAGAGGAAACCCAAGGGCTGTGCTCTCTGAACCCGCCTCATCACAACTCCGTCATCTGACTCTTGTCACGGGGCCTTCATGGCACCGGTAAGGTCTCTCCCTCTCCTCTCCCTCCTATTCTCCATCCAAGTACAGTTGCTTTTGCTGCCTTCCCCTTTCTAGAAAGGGGCTGGTATTTGGCAACTTGGCTGCTTTTCACAAACTAACAGACTCTAGCCACGTCTACTCTTTGGTGGGTCTTGAAGTGTGTGGTAGGGCCTTCCAGTAGCCTGGGCCCATTAGGCCAAATGCCTGGCTCTTCCAGGCTCCTCCCACTTAAATTTCCCTTCCTATATTTTAGACATGCGTCTCGCTCTTTTACAGAAGGTCTGGTGTTTGGGATCTATTTAAGACTTGCACCCCACGAATTTGATGCAGCAACAAAGTATATATGTACCTCTGTGTCCCAGATGAACTCTTCCATTTCTTTTATTTTCCCTCCAGGCTTCATGAACCCTGCTTTTTTACATTCTGAGGGAAAGGAGCTTTGCTACAAAGATACCATCAGGATTGCTGAACAACAGACCATGGCAGAAGCAAGCTGGTGTCAAACAGAACCACCAGTCCCTACGTCACCAGGACACCCCTTGCCCACTCGCCCTACTGCTCCCTTGCAATTCTAGATAAACACCCTACACTATGTCAAAGAGTAGGACAGTGGTCTTTCAGACATAGTCTGCTGTCTTTCTCAATCTGTGGACAAATTAAACTGCTGTCCTGCTTCCTTTTATTGGTCAATGAAACCAATACTGGACCAGCATTCTGGCACCAAGTGGACTGATTCTGGCCAAGGCTACTCTTTGGAGGGTTATGAAGCAGGGGGTGATCTTTTAGACCCCCATGGCCCAATAAGGCAAACAGTTGACTTTCCTCTCTTTCTAATCTCTCTCTCCTCCCCTTCTAACCTCCTATTTCCTTTCTCCCTTTTCTTTAGCAGAAGCATAGGCTTCAGAGCCAATTCTCTGTTCAAACCAGATCTCTTTTGCCACTTAAAATAGTGGGCACAGTACTGCCAGTTAAAGACATTAGAGTGGCTGCCACTTTCCAGAAGACCCCTGTGGCAGGCTATGCTGGTTTGTACAATGATCATCTGATCACCGTCTAGTCGACCAGCTGGGCGACAACAGAAAGTCGGCTGAGTATTCACAGCCCCACTCCCCAGCTTTCCAGTTTTTAGAATTTTAGTCTGAGACCTGGATTTTACAACTCCTCTTTTCTCTGTGCTGCAGACTGGCCTCCCTTTCTGGCTTCTCTGAAGCCCTCATCCTCTTCCTTTGCTGTTCTCAACAAACACTACCAGAAAAGGCTCTTTGCCCATGTGGGGGCTGACCTGTGGCAGCTCCAGACTTTGCAGGCTCCTGTCCTGATATAGCCCTGTCTTGTGAGTGCTTCCTTAATCACGGGTATTTTTATACCTTCCATCCTTCATTATGGCTTCTTGATTTTCTTTCCTTGGCTCAGGTTTTTAATTCAAGATTCAAATCTGTGTTAATTTTAAAACTTCAGAAGGACAGAAACAACTCCTGTCAGACACCCTGGAGTGGCAGAATTGTTCAATTCTGTCTCCCAAGTCATCTCACCAGATGCTATAGCATTTCCATGACAGCAAGTGTTAAATCTTGTCACAAGGTATTTAGATTGTAGGGTGAGGGTCATCAGTTAGAAGCTCCCCCTACAGTCTTCTTAGCCTGTCACAAACTCATTCTTACACGGTGTGTGTGTGTGTGTGTGTGTGTAGTGTACAATAACATTGAAAGAAGCAATAGTGAGTAAAGCCCTGGGGATACTAGGCCAAGGGGAGTCCCTCCTTGGGTGGGGGTACCCATGATATAGGACTATTTCCCTGGAGGGTACACCTGTGGCGAGCCCCCCACTCCCAGTTTTGGTCTGTCCATGACACACCCAATCACAAGGTGCTCATCCTGATGGTGGCTGCTCAATTACTGGACAGCTCCCAGGGGGTACACCCACGGCTCTCCCCACTGCAGACACTCATCCGTGATGGGGGAGTCTGTTCAGTCCATCCCTATGGGTTTTTCTCTGGATTGTAATTGGAAAGAGTTAATGCTTACTGACTTAAGGTTTTATCTGGACGCTTAAGTGCCAACATATCTAACTGGGTGTATTGAACTTAACTCCGAGGCTAAAACTTGAAGAATTAGACTAACTTTGTTTTAAAATGGGTAAGGCTCCGGTGAAACTGTTTACACATCCAAAGTCTCTTCTAGTGATATAAAGAGAAAAAAGGTGGCCTTAGGAGACTGATGCAAATTTTCTGCCTGTATTCTCTTTAAAACCAAAGGATTATTCTTAGAAATACAAAGTTAAGAAATGGTTTCTTAATTTCAAGAGAAATTGAAATTGAATTTAGAAAATGAATGAAAATTATTTAGAAATTGAATTAAAAGTTTTCAGTGCTGTCATAAGTATTGGGAAAATAACAATTTCTTAACATTAGTATTTCTCAGAGGTAACCGAAGGACCTGCTCACAGATCCCAATATCACATTCCATCTGAACTTTTCTCACAGCCTCCTGCCCCATCATAACCCCTAGACTCCATAGCCAGAACAGTCTCCAAAATGGCCCTGCTTGAGATGTCCCTTCAGGCCAGACCCCCGCCTCAGCCACCACACCCTTCACAAGACTGCATCATGTCACGCCACACTTACTGCCTCCCCTTGGGCCTAACTGCCCCAAAGTGGTCACTTCCATCCAGAGTCCTCCTATGGACATCACTCCTCAGTGCTTCTCTCCCCAGCACCCCCAACAGGGTTTGACCCTAATCCCTCCCATTCCCATACCCAAGGACCATTGGCCCATGAGGCCTAATGGGCCTTGAAGCTCACCGGGCATAGACCCCTCCCCATGCTTCCTAAAGTAGCCCAGACTCACAACTGGAAGCTCTCATTGTACTTGGGGGCCCAGCTGTTGTTCTTGGATTTGGTCGCAAACTTGCGTTTCTTGTCACTAAGCTGGGGTCCAATGATGTTGACCTCGATGAAGGGTCGGAAAATGCCAGAAGTTTGCCACTTGAGGTCATTGGCAGCCACCACTGTTGGAAGCAAAGGGTAAGTTGGCAGGCAGCTGTGCTATTCAAAGTCTATCTCAAAGACCACATTTCCCAGCATGCTCCTGCAGCTACCCATGGCCATGTGACTAAGTTCTGGCCAACTTAGAGATGTGGGGGGAATGAGTGTGTAAGACTTTCTGTTGTGGATAAAGAAGCAGGGAGAGTGACCAGGACTTTCTCCTTCCCCTACCTCCAGGCAGGAGTATTGGTGGGGTGCTGGGTTCAGATTCGGGGCCCTTATAAAGAAGGAAAAATACAGTAGGGATAAAAGTGTCACAAAAGATGTCAGGGTTTGGATTCCCCGAACTGTGACCCTCCATATCGTGTTGGGCTCGTTTATGCTTGGTGTTACCTCCGGGAAAAATTAATTCCATTTTACTGTAATTTTAGGTCTTGGCTAAAATAGCCCAAATGTGTGTTCTAATTAACAAAACAATAGCCAACAAAAGGAAGGCAGAACTGAGAGATGGAAAACATTGGATTGAGGTACTCTAACACTGTTTGCACCCTGGGTGCAGTCATGCTGCAAGTGGTTACTTTGGAAGCCTCAGTTTAATGCAAACTTATTTTTTTTTAAAGGAAAAAATGTCTGTCTTGTGTAAGCCAGTATGAGTTAGATTTCTGTCTTAGAACTTAGAGCATCTGGTTGAGGGACATTCCAGGCCCCTCACCTCAGGCTACTCACCTTTCACTGTGACCTTTTGCTCCCCAGTTCCTGGATGAGTGAAGAGCTCAACATGGACAGAGACTTCGCCCACAGGGTCTTCCACACCCGAGCCTGGGCGGGGCAGGGAGGATGCGTGGTGTTAGCGCCATTCTTTCCTACCCTCGGAAGGGACCTGGACCCCCTCCTTCCTACCTGTGCTGGCAGCTCCAGGTCAATAGCCCTGACAGGGTGTCACTGAGGACACGGGATGGTGGGGACTCTTGGGGAGGCCACGAATCCTGAGCTTGCGATCTTGCTCTGTAGTCTAGGGCAGATCTCTGAACTTTTCTGAGCCTGAAACCTGTTTCCCTTTTTCTTGTTCTACTCACCACCATGTCGTCAAAACTCAGTCTTCATCTTCCACCATCTCTTACTGTTAGTCTTTCTGTGCCTCCATTTCTCTGCTTGGTTCGACAATGCCACACTATCCAGATTCTCAGCTTACACACAAGGACTCCCTTTCACCTCTTCAGTAGCTTCCTCGCACACTGTTGGGACATTCTGCACCATAATCTTTGATCTCATTTTGTCTTTCATTCCCTCCCAAAGTACTGATAGACTGGAAAATTCTGCCAGTCCTACCTTCAAAACACATGTAGAATCTGGCCCTCTCCTTGGCCTCCGTTCTGGATCAGCCTCCATCATCACATGCTTCGACACAGCTTCTCTCAATACACCAGCCAAGAAACCCTATTGTTATATCACATCCCTTCTCTGCTCAAAACTCTTCCGTGGTCCCCTCTCACCTGGAAATAACCAAACTTCTTTTCTGAGACCTGCAATATCTCTCCTGACATGTCCTTACCAGAACTTTTCAGTCTCACCTCCTTCCACTGTTTCCTTCACTAACTCTTCTCCAGCCACAAGCCACTTCACTGCTCTTTCAACACAGCGATAACCTGACCAGAGTCCTGGCCTTTCCAGGAATGACAGGTTGTAAGGGGTCTTTTTTTGTTTGTTTGTTTGTTTTAAGGGATCTTTTACTGTCTTACCCACTCTCCTCAATGCACCTCGTTTTTTGTTAAGAAATGCCCTCTACCTTCACCTCAGGCCTTGTGTTCTCTCCCCCACTCCAGGTATGGCTAAGTGAACCTGGTGGCCCAATCAGAGCATTTGTGGTTTTGGTTGAACTGATCAGTGCAAGGGTGGTCATGTGGCCTGAGTTAGGCCAACAGGAGTTGATCCTGGCATTTGGGTTATGACTGTTAAGAAATGGTCTCTCTGGTGCTAAGTCGGGAAGAGTATCTATAAGTATCTGTAAGGGAAGTCCTTGAACAGAGGACTCGGGAAAATCCAATGAGTAATGGTATTGTCAGAGATGCTGGATTCCTGATGCCAACTAAACCTCTAATGTTTCAGTTCCAGAGTCAAGAAATTCCTTTTTCTGCTTGAGTCAGGGTGAGGTGAGCTTCCGCTTCTGGCCACCAGAGGCCTAATGATTATTTGACTCTGATTGCGGATCATTTAAGGGCTGCTTAAAAGCTTTTATTCCAGTTCCTCCCTCTGGGACTCTGGGAAGGTCATCCTGTGGGGCTTAGGGACCTGTGACTGCCAGCACCCTCCCCAGACTCCTCCCCAGCCTCCCAGAAAGCTCCCCACATTTGGAGCACCCCATGCATTAGGGGAGGAAAAAGGAAAAGTCAGGAATGGGGGTGGGGAAGGAGACAGGTCAGTCCAAGGTTGATCCAGGTTATCTCACACTGGGTCGGAAGTGACTGAGGTTCAAGAGGCAGAAAGGTCTGGAGACCCCATGACCCCAGTACTGGGGCGTGCACTCCCCATTTTCACCATCCACCCCCAGGCAGCCTTCCTAGTCATCTCACTCTTCCAATCCCAATCCCACCCCGCACCAGTCACATGCTCAGCCTCCCCTCCCCCCCACCCCAGGCTGATGCTTCATAGCAAGCTCAATCCGGGCCAGACTGAGGGTGCCAGGTGGGAGCTGGACAATGGTGGGTGGGGTGAGGGTCAGACCAAGGCCAAAGCTAGTAAGAAGGGGGAGGGGGGCAGTGCTAGGCGCCCCCATCCCGCGGTTTGCTGGCTCCAAGAGGGTCTTTCTGCTCCCCCAACCCCACCCCACACCTGGTCCCCACGTTTTGGGCCTCCCTGCAGAGGAAAGTTCCTTGGGCAAGTGACTTCACTTTGATACTCAGCATCCTCACCAGGCCAATGGTGAGCCCCTTTGCAGGGCAGCTGGGAGGAATCTGCTAAATTCCTCCCTGAGAATTTGTTGGCAAAGGGTTAGCTCAGAGTTAGAGCCTGAAAAAAATATCTTCTTGCTGGGAAAAGTGACATCAGCAACAATAATAACTCTCAATTGCTATGAGCTATTACAAGTCAGGAACGGCTCTAAATTTAATTCATGGAGTTCTAAAAATAATCCTATGATTACGGTCCTTAACTGTCCTACTTTACAGAGGAGAACAATGAAATCCAGGGAGGCAGCCGCTTGCCCAAGGCCCCGGGGCTCGCAGGAGCAGAGCTGGGATGCCAGCCCCGGGCGAACCACAAGGGCGCCCCCAGGGGACCCAGGCTCTACCTTCGGAGATGCACCTAGGAAGAAACGAGTTTCCACTCGAATCGCTTCCCCTTCCCCGCGTGGAACCAGCAAGCCGTCCTTCCCCCTCGCCCTCCTGGGCGCTGGCAGCGGCCTCGCCCTGGCAGCCCCCCACCCCCACCCCAGGCCAGGGAGGTGGAAGGACGGGGCCTTTTACTAGCCGGGCCGGGAAGGGCGCAGGCACCGGGCACCGGGTGCGGGCGGGCGGCGGAGGCACGTACCCTTCTCAGGATAAATGTCTTCACTAAGAGTAAACCTAGTCCCTTTTCCACCATGGACTAATCACGGGGAGAGGGGGAGAGAGGAGGGGGAGGGGAGGAGGAGAGACGAGCCAGCGACAGGAGGATGGAGGGCAAGTGTGCGTGGCGGGGAGCAGGGGAGGCGCGGAGAGGGGGCGGCGAGTGAGAGGGAGGAGAAACAAGAGAGAGAGAAACGTCAGCTGCACACGGACGGACAGACAGCCTCCCGCTCGGGTGTGGGGGGCACCAGGGACACTAAAAGCAGCAGCGTGGACTGGGCACAAGACTGAGCGCAGAGGCCCCACGCCCAGGGCGGACCCCGGGCTGGCTGGGGAGAGGGGGGGGGGCGCTGCAGGGCTTTCTCCACCCGCTACCTAGCCCCCCACCCCCAACCACTGCGGGGAGTAAGCCTGGGGTCAGCGGCCAATTTCTCTCCCTGGCCAGAGCTCTGAGGGTCAGTTTGAAAGTGGTTCCCCAGCTAGGGGAATTAGGACCTCCACTGGAGTCTTGTCCCTCAGCCCAGCTGCTGTGGTGTGAGCTCAGAGAGGGACAGGAGACAGAGGCAAGAGAAGAGAAAGAATTTGAGAAGTGGGAACTCCCTGCGGCCACTAGCTCTAGCTCGAGTCTCTCCCCACCTTGGGATGGTCAGTCATTCCTTAGCCCCAAACACCACAGAGGTTCTCCCCAGGGAGGTCCGTCCCCAGGGCGACACCTCAGAGGTCTCACCCCACCCACATCTGTCAACCACTCTCTAGTTCCCGCCCTCACAGAGGTCCCTGGCTCAGAGCTGTCAACCACTTGGTCCATGAAGTCCAAGTCCCTCCCCAAGGAGCAGTCAATCACCCTCCGGTCCTCGCGATCAGATCCCGCCCCAGAGTTTTCCAGGCCTCATGACGTCATGAGATGAAGAGCCCCGCTGGCCCGCGATCCCCTCCAGGTCCCCACCTGCTGTCGATCACTTATTGGCCGTGACATCACGGAGCTCACATGTGCCCTGGAGCTGTCAACTGACCCGGCCCCTGATGCCACAGAGAGTCGACGGGCGACCCCAGCGGCCAGGGGCTGGACTGTCCCTGTGGGCGGGCTCCTCTTCGAACCAGAGGGCAGCCCCTTACCCTGGGTTGCTTGCGTCTGCACGAAGGTCTTGATGAGCAGGTCGGTGGCCTGCGTATAAAGAGACAGGGCGTAACGCAGCGACTGCAGGTCCGGGCTCTTCTCCAGGAAGGTCTTCTTGAGGCCAACGCCCCCCGCGTGGAAGTATTGCTGTAGGGGATAGGGAGAGAAACTTGAAGCTGGATCCTCTCTTGTCTTCTTCCCAACAGAGCTAACACCTATGCTGCGAATGACCAGGGCTTCTCAAGACCAAGCTGGGTTGTTCTGCATCCCCATCTCCTCCCCTACCTAGAGGATCTCCCAGCGCTCTCAGACTGACACCTAGGCCTATGAGCCCCCTCTTCAGGTCTTTCGTGGCCCCAACCTAGCAACTTCTGGCTTTCTTTCCCATAGTCTTCCCTAGAACATTCCTGCTTCAGGACCTTTGCACTTCCTGTGTTGACTGGTGGGAAAGGCCCTGCCACTCCCTCATTTTGCCTTGACTGGCTCGTTGTTTTGCTTAGTTAAGGTCTCACAGAGCTTTCCTGACCACCCTTCCTTAATGTTCCAACCCTTTGACTGTGATTCTCCATTTCAGCAAAACCTTGAAAGAGAGTAGTTTTCACACTTCTCATTTCATGAAAACTACAGCCTCTTTTATGCCTCCATATTCTTGCCTGGGCTGATCTTTTGCTAGAATATTTGTTTTACCTGGTAAATTCCTCTACATTCTTCAACACCCACTTCCTACATACCTTTGTTAAGAAAGTCCTCTGCTTCTTCCCTGGTCTCCTCCCACCCCTAGCCTTCCCTTTACCTAACCCTAATCTCATAGGGCTGGGGATATCTGTATCCTACTGTCCCCTTCCCTCAGCCTGGCACTCCTCAGGGTCCTGCCATCAGCCAGCCTGGCACTGAAAAGAAGGGGGATCAGGGAGTGCAGTGGCTCATGACCACACCAGCCACGTAGTCTGCATGTTCCACTTGGGTGGGTGTGTATGTGTGGGTCTCTCACCTTGATGGTATCCAGGGCCAGCTCCACTACTGCACACTGCTTTGGAGTCAAGCTCTTGGCTTCTTCTCGTACCATGTGGTCCTACATGGATGGAAAGAGGGGCCAGGTGGGCAGAGCATACCCCTCTCCTTGGGCATCTATCTATTGGTCTTATTGCCAACTGCCTCAAATAGCAGCTTTGTCTTTTCATCTTTGTATCCCCAGTTCCAGCATATCACGTCACAGAGCTGATGCTCAATCAATGTTTGCTGAGTACATGATTTTACCCATGTTTAAGCTGTTGAACTTGATACTGAACCACGCACAGCTTTCCAGCACAGAGGGGCAAACAAATTGATGTTAACCCACCTCCACCTCTGACCTCACCTTGAGTTTAGACAGCTGACCCAGCTCCTTGGCTGCATTGAAGATCATCTGGGTTCCCTGTAGGTAACAACAGACACATCCCAGGTAAGGGCAGGGATCTCCCAGCCCAGGCCCCAAGCACATGCTGACACCCCAACACTGGATGCCATCTTGGTTCTTGTCTGGGAAGGGCAATGGTGTGTCCCGGGATCTGTCCTGGAGTTCCTAGGAAGTGCTGAGTGGGAGGTTGTAAATCTGACCCTGGGAATCCCAGTCCCATGGGGATACTGCTCACCCTCCCACCTCCACCATGACCCGGGGTTTATGGGACAGAAAGAAACAGACAGAGAGCAAGCTGCAGAGGGGTTGGGGGAAGGGAGGATGGGCAGCCCGAATGGTGTTTGTGGGTATAGGCAGGGCTTGCCAACCTTAAGTCAGGGAGTCTTGAGAAAACCATGGGATGGGCTCTAGTAAAACCCTCCTTCCCCCTAGGTCCCACTCCTTTTGTGGGAGAATCCGGTAATCTGGGGAGCTGTTAGTCTGACCTTTTAAAAGAAGAATCCTCTTTCCCCAACACACACCTCATACCCATCCCTACTTTCTCCCAAAACAGACACCAGCAAGACAGCATCCTGGTTATGGCTCCAACGAGGTGGGTGTGCCTGAGTTCAAATCCCAGCTCTGCTGTGTGGCCTGGGCAAGTCGCTAACCTCTTTGAGCCTCAGTTTCCCAACTAGATGGGGGAAATAATCTACTCTGCTTAGCTGAACCGAAGTGTCTTTTTGTTCAACGTTATTATCACTTGGTTTCAAGGTCACAGGTAATGCTGGGGAGGATGGGGTTCTGAACTGACAGTTGCCCTGTATTATCCATCACTGTGCTGAGTGAGTTGAGACGGGTCCCCTCGTCCTTTCTGGGACCCAGTTCCTCCTCTGGATAACAGGGATGCCTACATTAGCTTGGGGTATGGGGTGGGACTAAGTATCAATGAAGTTACTGGGTCCTGGAGTGACCTGGGGTTCTGAGTAGGGCAAGCCATAGACAGGGAGCATTTATGCAGGGATATTTAGAGTCACGTTGATGAGCTGCCACTACTATTAATGTCACCTTGGTTATCATTACTCTTCCTAGTCCTTGTCTGTGATTCCTTGAGGCTGTCACGAGGCGCCTTCCTCAGGAGCCCAGCAGTTCAGCCTGCACCCTCCTCCCTGCCCATCCCCTTCCCACCACCCTCACAAACAAGCCAGACAGACAAAGGAAGAAGAGACCGACAGACAGGTTCACAGAACACCCCCAAACTGCACGGACTACAGAGGTGGAAGGAAGCACAGGGTAGGATGGGGTGGGAGTGGGGTGGGGGAGCCAGACAGACACTGAGAGGCCGGTCTTACATCTGAGTGGCTTGGCAATTTCACCCTGCCCTGTGGAGAGAATCAGGAGGCGGTCAGAGTTCCAGTGGCTGCTGGGGGAGATTGTCAGTGGGACTTCCCTACCCCCATAAAGCACATTCCCACTCCCCAGCCCACGAGCTCCCTCCCAGGTCCTAAGTCTAATGCTAAGCCCCTCCCCAGCTGGATACCTTCCCTTGTTTCTAGGCTGGGGGGTGGGGGGGGGTTAGGGCCAGACTCCCAGACTGCAAGGAGGCAGAGGAGTCTAGAACAAGTCTTCCCCCTACCTGGGACAGGTTCCCACCCCACAGTCAGCCTGCCCTGGCGTAGGTGACTTGTGGAGAGAAGAGAGAGGGCTCAGGTCTCTCCTCCCCCAATTTCCAAGTCCTTACCCTTTCAGGCCCGCCTAAAGAATTGTACTACTAGGTATTACAAGTTTGCTCACCATGGGCACATCCCCAGGCACAACTGTGGGTGGCAGAGACTGCCCACACGCACACACCACACCTGGATCAATATTCAAACACACACAGCCAGAACTCACAAGTGAAATCTACTTGAACCCTTGCGTGTACACAGGCACACGCACAAACCCTATATCTTTAACGCCACGGGGGTGTACATACAGTGCCAGGCACTGTGCCCTTAGAGGGGTGGATGGTGGCCCACAGAGCAAGTTCCTGAAGCTGAGATGCCACCGTGAGCACACAGAAACACCCGCGAGTGCAGAGCAGTGGAAACTGTCTGTGGGCAGCCACAGCTCCACCTCCTCACAGCAGAGGCCTTTCAGAACAAAAACCAATCACAAAGCCAGGTCTTGGTCCAGAGGGCCAGTGCATAGGCCCTTTCGAAGCCACAGTCAGCTGAGCCCAGGACTGGGATGAGCCCCTTGGGTACTGCTGTGAGAGGGTGGAAGCTGGTTGTGTGGCTCACGTATGCGCGTGCACCAGCCCAGGACTCTGCAGACTCACCTTGTCTCTGATTCCTGGTATGGCTGGACTAGGTTAGGGAGCGTGCCTACTCCCCAGGACCCCAGCTAAACTTCCTGTTCATGCGCACACACGCGCACATGTGCTCACACAAACACTCAGACACCAGCGCTTGAGACCTCGGCGGAGACGAGGCCCTCATTACCTTTTCTAATCCCTTGCCATGTTTTCTCAAGAGGGTGCCCTGCAGAGACAATGTCACAGGGTGATCAACCTGGCAAGTCATGTGGGGCGGGGACCCAGGGAGATCACGTGTCCTCATGGGATGGGGATGAGGGGCTAGTGAGGAGAATGCATTGGGGGGGGTGCCCTGATGACCAACCCTTAACAGGTGGAGGAGACAGAGAGAGAGGAGACAGGAGAGAGATGATAGAGAAGCAGACAGATATAGAGAGATACAAATAGAGCTAGAGACAGAGGTGAGCCAGAGAGAAAAGAGAGAAGTCTCTGCCCAAATAAAATGCATTTACATATACTTTCTTGGGTCAACAGGAAAGCAAATAGGCGCCAAATGACAGACCTGAACTAGAACCTTCCTCCCGTATGTGTTTACTCTGTGGCTTTGAGCAGGCAACTCCTCCCCCCTCAGCCTAGCTTTCCTCACCAGCAGAATGGGAATAATGGATCCGCTGCGGGAAGGGATGCATGTGGTGGGTCAAAACAGCAGGGTGAGTGCTTGTAACGTTCTCTCTCACTCACAAAGGGGGGCAGGGGGCTTAAAGTGCTTTTTATCTATCTCCTTGTGTGTTCTGCAGACTACTACCAACAAGAACAAAGATGTTAGCGCTAATTCAATTGTCAGGTCTTGGTCAGTTCAGAGATGACTGCTTTAATGCATCACCCCATTTAATTCTTAGATAAACTCTCAGAAAGAAGATACAGTTAACTCCTTCATCCAGACCAAGAAACAGAGGTTTGAGGTGAAGGGACTTTCCAAGGTCACAGAGAGAGTGTGGCTGGGCTGGGATTTGACCCCAAGTCTGCCTGACACCAAAGCTGTCTCCCACTCGAGTGCCTGGCTGTGCCTGGGATTCATGTGTGTCCAGGCGGACTGCAGTGGGGCGGGCAGGAGTGGTCAGGGGCAAGCTCTGAGTAGGTGAATAGGGCCTTGGGTGGGGAGGACCTATATTTGGGGGTGGAGGGCTGCTCACAGGTCAGAATATAAAGGGGAGGTCAGGACTCCCTTGGCTTTTGCATTTCTTTTTTACTTTGGGGAGACCCCGCATATCCTGGTGGCATCTGAGCACAGGAACAAGGTTAAATTCCAGCTGAAGGAAGAGAGCAGAGTGAAGGAGGAGCTGGGAGGAGGCTAAGCCTCGGAACCACCGGCAGCCGCAGCTGCGGGGGCGGTGGGCGGGGCCTCCCTCCCGGGCCCACCCCCTCCTCATGCCCCGCCCCAGACAGACACAGGCACATCTAGGCGGAAGGGGGGACGGTGAAGGAGGGGGATGGTGGGCGAGGAGGAGGCGCTGGGCGGGTGGGGTAGGAGGTACAGCCACGGGTGGGCCTAGTCCAGACACAGAGCGGACGGACAGACAGACGGACAGACGGCCTCTACTTACGATCATCTGTCAGCCGCGATGGGGGCGGGGTGGCGGGGGAGGGGGGAATAAGTCACCATGAGTCTCCCCGGAAGGCCAGGGAGGGGGCGAAGATGGCACCCATGGGCAGACCCTGTGTCCCAGCCCAGCCCCATCCGCGGGTGAGCAGGCAACTGGATCTCCAAGCCTCCCCCACCACCTCTGCCACTAGATGGTCCAGCCAACCCTCCCCAAGGCCCCCTTGCCAGGGGTACCCTCCCCCTCTGTGCTGTGCCACCAGCCTGCGTGCCGTAGCTGCCCTCAGCCTCCATCCCCTTGTCCCTCAAGAACCACACCCAGCCACAACCCACAGTCCCCACTCTGACACTATCCACCCACCCCCAACTTGATCCCTGGGGATCATGGTCTCAGCTGTTCCCAGAAGGGTCCCAGAAACATGATTCTCCCTCTCTGGTTGGCTGTTGACCCCTGCTTGATCACTCAGACCTCGGCTGTTCTTCTTGATCTTTGACCTCAGAGAGCCCTCTGGCTCATTAGTCTCTGATCTTTGGAGTCTGTGATGTCTCCACTCTTTTTCTTTTGATAGACCCTCCGAGGCTCTCTGATGACCCTACTGATCCCTATGACCTATGTGACCCATGAATGGCCTTGAGAGAGCTGACATCTCTGTTTTCTGGGTGATCTCTGACCTCTGGATGACCCCTCGATCCACATATAGTCCTTTGGGTGTCATTTGCCTCTACTTGCTGTCTTTGACCTTTGAATAATTGAAACATAAACAACCCCTTTGACACCTGGATGACTTTTGGCTCGTCTCATGTGTGACCTGTGAGCCCCAATGCCTTTGGCACTCTCTGGGCTCCTGGAGGAAAGGCAGTACAGGTATCCCCTTTGGTCCCCTGTGGACCTCACCGTCTGGTCAGTGAGGGGTGGCAGGACGATGGTCTTTTCCATAGTGTTCATGACCAGCTTCCATAACTCCTTCAGTACTCGCTTCAGCACCGTCTTCTCACAGATTTTGGCAAAGAGAGTGAGGCTGGAGGCAAGGGGCATGTCTGAGAGAGGGCCTTGTAGGCCCGAACCCACAGAGCCCCTTCCCCTCAACACACTGGCAAAGTGGGAAGACATTCTATGGACAGGCTAGGGACACAGAGCCTTGAAAGGACCTCTGGGTGACCTGATGGAGCTACAATGTATGATGCACAGGAAGAGTAAACAGGGGGCAAACTGGAAGCGACTTCAATGTCTGGAAAGCCTGGGCCTTAGCATGAGGTCAGTGGGGAGCCATGGAATATTCAAGAGGGAGCGACACAGCCAGACTTTCCAATACAAAAGAATGGAGTGGGGTGTAAGTTGGAATAGGAAGGGGGGAGACCAGGGCTAAGAGGGGGCTGGAGCCATGAACAGGAGAAGAAAGTGATATCAAAAAGTGATACTGGCTTTAAAGAGATACTGCCAAAGAGTTTATGACGGGATGTATGGGAATGAAGGGAGAGTGTTATCCAGCAGGCTCTTTCCAACAACTAACACCCTCCCCCCCAACCCCATGCCTGGCTTGCCAAGTCATCTGTCCCACAACTTTCTTCAATGCGCCCTTCGTCTATTTTTCTATCCAACCATCCATTGCCATTCCTTCCTTTCTCCCTCCCAATTTTCCATCTTTCAACCTCTCCCGCCACCCACCCATATATCCACATATGCATGCATCCATCCAATCACCTACCCATCTTCCCATCCATCTAAATACTTACCCAGCCACATGGATATTCCCTTATCCATCTTTTCTCCATCTAGTCTTCCAAGTATTTATCTTTTAACCTATGCATCTATTCTGCTACCCATCTCTCATGTCCTCTATCCAGCCAACATTCACCCACATAGCTACTCTTTCTAATCCGTTGCCCACCCTTACATAGATCCCTTCATTCCTCCATCCACCCATCTAAACCATTCGACCACCACCCAGTCAACATACTCCAAGTGTCCTTTCCAGGCCAGCTGCCTGAGTGTCCAAGGCCCTGCCCACAGTCCCTCCCCGACTGGCCCAGTCTGGCTCACTTGCTGTCAAGCAGGTCCATGATGGGTTGCAAGACGTTGTCAGCATCCTGGGCCACGCTGCTGCAGGCACTGGCTGGCACATTGCCTGTGCCCTTCACCTGGCTAAGGATGTCACCCATCTGCTTGACACACTCCTCTATATGTGGCTGGAAGCTGGGGGCACAGAGGGAATGGGCTCAGAGCACTCTCGGTCTCCCAAAGAAAGGGCCACATGGGCTGATCTGCAGACCTTGACATTTTATTGTTAGCATCAGGGACTGGCAGATAGTAGCAGGATCTAGCCCCACTTTTCTCATTTTAATCACATAATCCTACCCAAGGACTATTATTATCATTATCCCCACCTTACAGACTAATAAACTAAGGCCCAGAGAGGTCTAATAACTCACCTAAGACAACACAGCTACTAAACCATGAAGCTAGGATTGAACTTCATCTAACTCTTTATCTAACGCTGAGCCTTACTGCATCTGCTGAGTCTCTGGATGTCCCAGGGATCTGGATTTTGTCCCCTCCCCTCTGCTCCCAGCCCTCGAGATGTTCCCACCTGGTAGCAAACACCCGGCTGAGCTCATCCAAGACATTGTTGAGTTTCACCTGGAGCTCCTTCAAGATGTCACTGGCCTCAGCATCCAGCTGAGGAGAGAGAGAGAGACATCAGGTCAGGTTTATGGGCCATCTAAATGTGCTGGGCATCTTCTCGTCTGATTCCTTCCCAGAGAAAGGGGTCCTAAGGGCTTGAAGGAAACTGAGGCATAGGCAGTTAAGATGTTTGCTTGGGTGTGAGGAAGTGGCTGATCTGGAAGTAATCAGGCATTAGCTCTGAGGTCTACAGGGCCGCTCCTCCTGGGCCCTAGCTCACCTCCTTCCCTCCCATGGCTTCAAACATCTTCTCTAGCTGAACTCGTAGCTGCTGAGTGTTGTTCATGAGGATGCAGGGCTGCAGATGTGAACAAAGCAGGGAGTCAGTGCTCAGACCCCCTTTTAAGGACCTCCCCCCTCCCTGACCGCCGGGGACCCCAAGATGGCCCTGGGCCTGGGCTGGAGGAAACTAGGGTCCCACACGTCATTTGAGATAGGAAGAGAGCCCTTGGGATCAGATTTGAAGGAGTGTTGGGGGGGGTTCTCTGGGGACTGGCAGGTGGTGGTGGGGGAGGAGCACACAAGTAACTCTGCTCCCCTGGGTGGGCTGGGTCTCCAGGAAAAGGGGAGTCCTTATCATGCATCCAAACTCTCCTAGATGGGTTTAAGGCTTTGAGTCCTTATTATGCATCCAAACTCTCCTAGATGGGTTTAAGGCTTTGCACACTCATATACACGTGCCCTGGAGTCTTTTCTCACAACCAGACAATCACATGGCCCCTCATCTCCATATCCCCTCCAGAGACACAGACACACACAGTCAGGCAAAACACACAGACATAGGTCAGAGCTCAGGGAATATTGGATCCCTAGGGGTGAAGAATGGGGCTGGGAGGGGACAGGACAGGGGCCCCCGCAGGTCACCACTTTCTCCTTCTCCTTGGAACAGTAGGAGGCGTAGTCCTTGGAGATGATGTCTGCATACTGGAGCAGCACGTTGCTGATGGTCTGGGGAGGAAACAGTGTGCGTGAGAGACAAGGCTAGGCTGAGCGGCCTGGTTACTAGGTCCCATCAAAAGCCACTAGTGAGAACAGGGATGAACTGGGATCTCTATTAGCACCTAAGATGGGCCAATGGGCTAAGCAAATTCTCTACCCATGATCACCACCACTGAGGGGAGGGTAACGAGGATTATTTGTATGTAAACTCAGTTCTTTTTCAGAGCTGCCAACTATCATATTAACCCTGCTTCAACCATATGATAACTGGATTCCAAATTACATCCCAGTTTCTACCTGCAGTCCCCAACATCAAGCCAGCCTAAAGCCAATCCAATTGAATCTCAACCCCGGTCCTCCAAATTCACCTAAAGGTTGACCCAAATGCTACATAAATCCTAAGACCCACTCCACCTCAATGCCAAATCAAATCCCAATCCTACTAGTAGCCCCAAGCCCAAATTCTACCCTCACTTACCTCTAAATGTCTAACTTAAAAAAAAAAAAGCTTATTTTTACATCTTTTCCAAATTTCTAACTTTTACCACAACCTGGACCTCAACCCTCAACCTCGACCTCAACCCAAATGTTAATCCCAACCTCTACTCCAATCTCTGTAACATTGCCAAACCCAACTTCGACTTCAACCCAAACCCAAACCCTGTCCCCAACTTCTATGGAACGATCAACTCCAATGCTGTGTTTGGGGTTACTTATTCCATTGACTTCAATTCCAATGCTATTAGTCTCAATTTTGATGCAAGTCCCTGCCTCAACCGTAATCCTGACCCTGTGATCCATTGACAACCACAACTCTGACCTTGATCGTGACCCCATTTCAATTCCATGCTCCACCTGAGCTGTATCCGCACCTTGGCAAAGCGCCTCATGTAGTGCCCCACAATCTGGGGGTCTGGGCACTCCAGTTTCTTGATTATTTCAAAACTCTGGTTGAGCTGGGAGAAGACGTCCACTACGGAGCAGGAGAACAGGGCATGCTCTGAGGTCTGCTGGAACTACAGCAGGAAGGGGGCCAGGAGGGAGGAGAGGGGGTCAGAGTGAACAATTCCCAGAGCCCAAGCCACCCCCCCAACAGGGAGACCCAGAGACCAACCATCCTGGAGATAAGATGGACAGATGTGAGGCTGACTTAGAGCTAAAAGAGAGATGGATGCAGAGGTCATGGGGGTGGGTGGGTGGTCATGTTTGATGAACTGACAGTCTCTATATGTTGAATGAACAAAAGACTCATTTCAACACCATGAACAAGACAAAGATGGTAAATATCTAAGGCTGACTTTTACTCCCAAGCTGCATCCTACAGCATCCAAAGGGAATGAGGCCACACTGGGCAGACTGGGACCTGGTTGAGGGTCAGCTTTCTTACCCCATCCTTCTTGTCTCGCTCCAGAGCCCCATGCAGGAAATCCCGGGACACCTCCTCATTCTCGTCCAGCCACTGGATGACAAAGGGCTCAAACCACCTTGAGTGGAGAACCAAGATGGAGTCCTGTGACTTCTCATTCCCCTCATCTTCTGCTCAAACTCACTTTGTAAATATGAGTGTTCACTCTGCTGCCGCCTTCTCCCATCAGGCCTCAGCCACTATACCCATGAATCAGACTGAATGGTCATTGTCAGAGGAAGGCCCAGACTTGTGGGGATCCAGGTGATAAACTGCCCACAGGCACGTGGGTTTACTCTGAGATTGAGACACAATACGTTCGGTCATTCGCAAATGGTGGCCACCACCCTACCCTTCAGAACAGTCCAGGAGTCAGACATCTTGAGCTTGTATCCTAGCTCTGTTATTTATCAGACCTTAGGAAAGTCCTCCCTTTCCTCACCCACAAAGTGAGAATTAAAACCCTTTAGATTCGGGCCCTCCTTGTTTGCGCAGCAGGTTAAAGCACAGCACTGAGAAGCTAAAGCCACTTCTGCATGAGTTCGATTCCCACCTGCCCCGGAGGTGATCCACATGGTGCGGCAGACCTCTCCTGACCCACCCACTGCTCCCCTCAGCAGTGTACTTCATCTATCTGCCAGTTCTGCTCCCCACTCTGTCCCTGGTGAATCCTCTCACTCTCTGCATCTCTGGCCTGTACCCCAGTTCTGTATGAATAAATAAATAAATCTTAAGAAAAAAAAACTACCCTTAGATTCATAGAAAGGATTAAATAAGAAGAGGTACATGAGGCTGCTCAGCACAGCTCCTGATACTTATAGATATTAACTGTCGGGCTACTGGAGTTCATAGTAGGATGACTAAGAATGGGGAACCTCGGGTTTGAGCCTCCGCTGAGCCCCTGGCACCCAGGGGGCCTGAGTAGATCAGGATCCCTCTCTAGGTCTCTGCCCAGCAGTCAGTGCTATAGTGCTGGTGTGGCTCAGGGCCGTGACTTACGCAGGATACTCAGGCACACGGTCCTTGAAGGCAGGAAGCTCGGCCACGTACTCATTGTAGAGCCATTTGACCTTGAAGTGGAGGTTCATGTAGTCGGCGCTCTTGCACAGACGATGCTTGTCATGCTCTGGGAAGGTGGGAGCAGAGGAGCGGGTCAGCCAGGAGGGTGGCCACTCTCTCGGCAGTGCCCATCACTGGTGTCCAATCTCAGTCATGAGGTGGCAGGGACATTAATGTACAACTGCTTGCAATGACCAGGCTGGGACACAGAGGACTTGGGGGACTCACCCTCCATAGCATACTTCATGTCCTGGGCAAACAGGTTCCACATCACTTCAGCACTGATTTTACCCACATTCAGCTCCTGGGGAAACCTGGTGAAGGTCACAGAAGGAGGAAACCGTGGCAGGTGGAAGCCAGAGGGCAAAGGCTGCTCTGGCCTTCTCAGCCGCAGAGGATAGTGAGGACAGGCAAGAGATCTAGATTCAAATGTCCTCATAGCTGCTGACTTGCTGAGTAACTGGAGATTGGGATCCTGCTTTTCCCTATACCTCCCACCCCTCCATCCATTCATCCACACACTCATTCCTCTATATCCAGTAATCCATGCATCCATCCACCCACCCATGCATCCATCCACCCACCCATGCATCCACCCATCCATCCATGCACCCATTCTTTTATCTATCCATCCATCCTTCCACTGATCTATCCACCCACCTATTCATCCAGTCATCCATCTGTCTATCCTTTATTCCATCCACCTTAAATCCCTGGCCTTAACTCCATATCTAAGTAACCCAGAGATGTTGACATCCCAGTTAGGGGCCCCTGTAGTGCTCACCTCATAGAGAAATAAAACATTCAGCTAAGACAGATGAAAATTCCACAGACATGTAAATCCAGGCAAAACTGTGTACACAATCACACAACAAATACTATCTATTCTTATATATGAACCTACACATGCCTGTAAAATTATACACATTTGCACACAGTGTTATTCACACAGGGAACTTGTTTAGATTATACCAGTAATTGTGTACATACACACAATTTTATGTTTATGTCTGCAAATTATGCCGTATTTCATCTAGGCAGAACATATCTACAACGGTCCCTACATATACACTTTATGTGTAATTAGACATCATATTCTTTACACCCAAGAAGCAAAATTGTGTGCGCACACACAGAATGACCTCCAGATAATTAACTTAGACACACACACACAACTCACTGATTGAGGCAGGGAGTGTAGGAATTCTTGTCTTCCTCAATGATGGACACTATAAGAGTGATCAGTTTGGACCAGAAGTCAAGATTCTTGATGCTGGGACCCTGTTCCTCTGGGGGAACTTCCCCCTTCTTGGCCTGGAAAGGACAGTGGGGACAATGGCAACAAGGAGTCAATGATAAGCTCATTATTGAAAGACAGGAGCTTGGTGAGGAAGGGGACATTTAACACGTGGGTGCTTTAGGTGGGAGGTCTATATAGAAATGAACTGAACTTATGTAGACTAGCCCAAAGAGGGCTCATGTAGTTCACGTAGTTCATGACATTTAATTAGGCTCATAAAACTGAATGGAACTGAATGTAGTTGAACAAATCCAAGCCCACTAAGCCAAATGGAACTTAGAGGAAAGCAAATAAGGCCCACTTAGCTTAACAGATGGCAGTTCTCAGATTTAATTTAATAGAACTGAACTTGGGCCAATTACAATGAATAGGGTAGAATTAAACTTAACTAGGTAGAATGAAACTCAAACTCAAGTGGATTGAAACTAATCAACTTGGCCATTGACCTAAATTAAAATAATGGAAATAGATCTATCTGAAATCAACCCAACCCAAAATACCTGGACTCATTCAATTTGATACAAATCAACCCAGCCTAACTACCTACTCAACTAATATACTAACATGCTAGCTGCCAGGTCCCCTCCCACGGCGCCTAAGTGAGAAATCCTTAGAGCTTGGCACGGTCAGGTACCGGGCACACGGGAGGAATACGTGGTCCTTCAGGAATAAAAGAATGGCTGATTCTTGAATGGTCACTGTAACTTTTGATTTGTTTCCTGATTCTGCTGACACACAACATACTAAACCAAAGAAATGTTATGAACACTGCGCTTCGTTCTAATGATACTTTTGAAAGAAATGTAGCCTCCTCTGTTCTTGATATTGATTTAACTCTGAGAAACTTTTCTATAATCTTTAATTCTATTAAACTATTATCTCCTTTACACCAGGTGGCTTGTGAAAAGAATTGAGAGAGCAATTAAAAGGATTAGCAAGGCATAAGTGATAGGGCATTTGTTTAGCACCACTGAACCTTGAATACACAGTGGTTTCTCAGGGCCCCAGTTTGGTCTCGGGCCCCTGACATCATCTCAGAAACAATAAAAAAATGTATTATCTGTCATGCTTCTATTGAAAGAATCATTGTACCCCTATATTTGCTTGCCAAGAAAAATTGTATAAATGCTCTGCACTCTTAAAAATAAATTATGTTCAGATATGCATTCCTAGAAGTCGTGTGTCTGTCACTCAACCTCATCCTTGTCCACTCTGTGCCAGAATTGCAATCCCTGAAACTTGTCTCCTGCTCCTGCTGTGCTGGTCTGCAGCAGCTAGCACCAACTCAACCCAATGTTAGTCAGTCAGTGGAAATAGGCATAGCTAAACTCAGGCAAAGTCAACTGGACTCAACCTCTCCTAACCTAACAATCCAGTATCTCCTAACTCAAGTCAATACAACCCAGTCAAGACACTTCAACTCAAGTAAATGGAAATGAATGAATTTTTGCTCAGTTAAACTCAACTTAATCCAACTCAGTTCTACTCACTAAAGAGCAAAGATGTACTTACTTCATCTAAACCCAATTCAATTAAGAGTGACTTAATTTTGACTCAACTGAATGTAAATAAGAATGAAATAAAGTTAGACTGAATTCACCTATCAGAAGCCCAAGCTGAAATTGCAGCCACATCGGGCCCTCTCACCTGCCACAATTTCTCCCTTCCAGTACAATTACCCTGGTTGCAAATCTCCAACTTATGCATTTTATCTTCTTAATGGAGATATGAGCCCTTTAACCTTTACTGATAATCCTGGGGCATTACACGTAGATAAACACATCAAAAGATCTCAAATAAATTGAGTTGATGTTAATAAAAATTAAGAAATTCAATTCAAGTAAACATTCATTTACTGTGATTCTATTTCAGGCACAGTGTACTATGCCAAACTCAAGCAACTTTAACTATAAGCAAATTTCCTTAGTACCTATCGTGTACCAGGTGCTGAAGTATACTTTACTTAAGGCTTACATCTCATTCAATCTGCTTAATTCTGACTCATGGACTTATCACCCATTTTACAGAGAAAGCTACTGAGACTCAGAAAAGTTAAATTGCTTGAGAGTGGACAGATGTGGGATGGGCTGGTATCTGGCTGGCAACTCCATTCCCTTCTGCCTCATCTAGAGTCCTCACCGGGTCTGTCTGGTACTCCCGACTGTAGAGTTCATGACAGTTGTTGAAGATGTACTCATAAGTAGAGTTGAGGCAGGCTTTCACGCAATCCTTTACCACCTGGCTGGCTCGGGGTGGGCTCTGAAGTTCTTGCACCTAGAGGGAGGGAGATGGGTATGGATGGGCACAAAAGGGTCAAGACTTGCCCAGGAGGTGGTTTCAAGTAGCTCTGGGTTCAAAGAAATGTAGTAGGTGAAAACAGGGTCACTGAGAAAGGGTTTTGCTGTCCAGGCGAAATGTTACTTGTTTACGAGCTAAGCATCCTGGGGCGCCTCCTTGACAGGCTAACAGGATTGAGTCTCCTTGCCTACCTTCATCCGAAAGAAGGTGATGCTGGTGAGAAGGTCCACAGTGGATTTGAGGTCCTGGAGTCTCTCGGGGCTGCTGGCTGGGAAGTTATTCTGTTAAAGGGGGAGGAAGGATGGGATTATGAGAGGTGGGGCAGGATGACACATGGAGTTTTAGAAGAGATACAAGAATCCCAAATTTACAGAGGTGGGTTGGAAGTCAATGAGAACACCTGGAAGCCATAAGGGGCCTGCTGGGATGCACCAAACACACTGGGCAAGTGCTGCCCATAGGGGGCCATATGTGGGATACTGTCCACCAGCTAAGGTGGGCCCTCAAATGTATCTATCACACACACATGTGCATGGGGTCAAGTCCTCATGCATGCACTCCTCACCCGGTACATAGAAAGATCGATCCTCAGGGAATTATGCAGCTGGTCCAGGAGCTTCACAAAGCGCTCTTTCTGAGGAGGCAGGGAAGAGGGAGGATGGGGTCAAGTGTAGCAGCTAATGGGGGCTGTCATATTTGCTGAGTTCTTACAGTACACCCCATCCACCATTGAGCTGACCCCCCATAACATGGCTCCCATTCTACAGAGGTACAAACTGAAGCTCAGAGAAGGGAGGTGACTGATGCAAAATCAATAGCAAATCAGGTCCAGATCGGGGACCTGGGAGCTGTATCGGGACTCACCAGCACAGAGTCAGGCTCTCCCTCATCCCCCAGCCCGGGCCCCTGGAACTGACCCCAAAGTTGGAGGCGGCAAAGCGGGCCCCTGGAACTGACCCCAAAGTTGGAGGCGGCAAAGCGGTCAGAGGCGGACACATTGGTGGAGGCGGTGGTGTGCGCATAGTAGGCGTTGATGTTGGCGAGAAGGGTGCTCATGACGGCGGGCACCCCAGGGCACATGTACTTGGAGGAGAGGCAGGCAAAGTGGCTGGTGGGAGGGAGCAGGAGGCAACTGGGTGCCATGTCCAGTCAAAAAGTCCTTGTTCTCCCAGAATGCCTCCAATACACCCCCAACCCCCCAAAACCTTTCCCTTTGTTTGATTCCACCCTCCATGTTTCTGTCTCCTCTCTGAGTTGTCCTGTCTATCGCTGATTTTTGTCCCTGTACTCCAGTCAGGAGCGATGGCACTTTCCTGACTTCCAGGAGAAATACCTGAACACCTCCCAACCCACTTCCTCTCTGACTCCTTCCACCCAGGTCTGCCAGGACTATTAGGTGAACCCCTGCCTAAGTTTCCTGTACCCCTTGTCCTCATGTCCACCCCAGCCTGCAGCCTCACGTCATGGCTTGGTAGATGGACTCAACGCCGTAACGCATGGCAAACTCATCCACGATCTCCTGGGCTGTCTCATCGTAGTAAACCTTCCAGGCGTCGTCACCTTTGGCATCTGGGATCTTCACGACCCCATTGTTCTGCATGTCCGTCACAAAGTGGAACAGGTTCTGCCACAATAGGGAGGGTATGTCACAGAGTGCCAGAGGACAGGAAGTTTCAGAGATCTTAGGTTTGGGTGGCTTTCATCATCCACCATTCTGCTAATTCACTAACTCATTCATCTCTTCTTTCACTCATTCACTACCCACCGTTTTCACCCAACTACCCAAAACTTCACCTATCCACTTATCAATCCTTTCGTTAATTAAGCCACATAGCCACACATCCACCTACGTACACACTCATCAACCTGCCCAACCATCCACGTACCAAGCCCCCATCCATTCAACTACCCCAAAATACACCCATCTGTTCTTCTGTACTTCCACGAGTTCAACCACACATCCATCTGCTCATTCCTCCAACTGTTCCTTTAACGTTTTATCTACTCATCACTCATTTCCCATTATCATTTATTCTTTCAACAAAATGAGTTCTCTCCAGAAGCCCTCAGGCAGCTAGAAGGGACAGCTCCAGACACAGACAGCTCATTCCTGATCACCCAGGGCTGGCACAGATGGAAGAATCCAGAGCTGGGTAGTGAGAGTTGACCTGGAGGTCTGGGAGGGCTTCCCAAAAGTTTCCTAAGGTCCCCTGACACTGGACCTTGATGAGTGTGCAGAGGGAAGGGCAGTGGAGTCCCAGAGACCCTGGGGAGCGTGGACATGATGTGGCTGGAGGAAAGTGGAGTGGGGGCAGGCAGATAGCCCATGGGAGATCACAGTGAGCCTGGAGGATGGGCACAGCGGGCCTCACCTCATGCAGACAGGTGTACTGGACATGGTAGGGGGCCACTTTCTCTTCGCCTTTGATCTCCACACTGATATGTAGCCGGATGGCACCAGACACAGCAGATTTGTCAGTTCTCTTGTCTGTGAGGCAAAAAGGGGTGACAGTGTGAGAACTTCCCGGTAGAGTCCAGGATTTTTTTTTTTTTAGTTAAGATCTGGTGTCTCTCCTCAGATTGGCTCCCTGGGCTTGTGTCTCACCCTTGAGGCTAGAATTCCTTACTCTGTTTCACTCTTTAAACTGGGGTCTCAAGCGTTGCTTCCACACTCAAATTCCTGGTCTGTGTATCCCTCTTCACACTAGTTTCCTGGAGACTGAGCTCCCCGCTGATCAGACTGCCTAGATCTCCTCAGTTGCTGACTCAGGACACTGACTCTCTCAGCCTCAGGTCTTACTCCCTGCTGCCTCTGTCAAAATGGGATCTCTAGGTTTCCTCCCACCAAACTAAGCCATTCCTAGGTTCTGTTCATCTTCCTCTACTTGGGTTCTTCCTGCTCCTTCAGCTTGGGCTCACAGACCCTGCCCCCCTGACCCCCATCAGATGGTGCCCACAGATCTACCCCTCTTCTTAAAGGGCTCTTGGGTCTGTAGCTCAGATTAGGATTCCCAAGTGACAGCTCATCCCTCACACTGGATTCTCTAGTTCAGCCTTCCTTCTTAGGTTGAATTTCTGGGTCTCTGAAGAGTAGAATACCCAACTCTTGCTTCCTGACTCAGCCACGAGCCTGGGATATGGCTCATGGGATATGGCTTACCCTCCAGATTGAGCAAAGAGGTTCTTGGGTGGTTCATCCTCTTCACAGGGTGCCTCCTGCCCCCTTCAAATTGGGCACAGAGACCCTGCCTGCTGCATCATCGGCTCCTAGACTGACTCCTCCTGACACTCCCCCACCCCCAGCAGGATTCTGTACTTTGACGCCCTGGGGCTGCCTCCCCCACAGAACACCACCTTCACTCACCCAGGTTGTACCACACGTCCATCTCGCCACTGAGCGTCCGCACCTCGATGATTGTCTGCCCAAGGAAGTCATCGGATTCCCTCTTGAACCGCTGCTTCACTCGGGATTTTATGTCATCATCCTCATCCCAGACACGCACCTTGATTCGGTCAGAGGAGTTGTGACATTCACTGCAGAGGGTAGGGGAGAGGCCAGGATGTGTGGGCCAGGCTGAGAGACCCCTCTGCCCTCCCCAGTGGGGAGCTCCTCGTGGGGGGCCAGCGGCCCTGCCAGGCACTTACAAGTGGAAGTTCTCCTCCCACACTGGGTTCAGGTTCCCATAGATGGTTTTTGTGCGTTTCTTGGTCTTCCCCACCTGGACAGTGACATAGGGGTCACTGGATCCCGTCTTGTCTTTTGCCTGCAAGCCCTGGGCACAGACCACTGGAAGACACACAGGACAAATACAGATTTGGGCTCAAGGACTGAGAGATGCCCTGAACAGTCACTGACAGAGCTCTAGCCCACGTGCTGGATTGCTCTGATGCAACTGGAGAGACGTCTTTGCTCTGGCTGCAGGAGCTTGTGGGCACACCCAGTGGGAACCCTAGGCTTGTTGGAGCCCTCAGCCAGCCAAGGATGGGAAGGTGCTCAACTGTCACCCTTGGGGTGGAACAGCCCGGGGTGTGTGCTCTGTGCTGTCCGGTTCCCCCACTTCCACCCCCCTCGCAGGCCACTTGCTGAGTTGGCTCAGCCCCCTTGGCAAATGTCTCCCTGCTCACTGGTGCCTCCTGCAGGGCTCCTTTCCTCCCTCCTCTGTCTCCCTCCTCCCTGGTGCTTTCTGTGGCCACCTCCCAGATACCCAATTGTCCTGAAATCCTTATCGTGGGGTCTGTTTTCCCAGAGAGCTAAATGAGGTTAGGCATGGAAACACACCTCCAAAGCCCTGGCCCCAGAGTAGGAACTCTGCTGGGTGATTTCAACACTGTCCCTAGTGGCTCTGGGGAGAAGTGAGCCCCAGTTGCCATAGCATCCGTAGCCCCCCCTTGACGCCCGGGTGTCACTGGGATTTCATTTCCCAGCCCCACAGGCACTTCCTGGGGTCACCTCCGGAGTAGGCATGCACCCTCGATGCTTCCTTTTGGGTCTGGTTCTAGGGGCAAGGGCTAACAGTGTTGGGCACACACATGTAGAAGCATACATGTCCGCCCTTGGACGCTCGTGCACACACGCAGTGGCATGGAAGAGACAAAGACATGCTGAAACATGCAGCAGTGGGGGGCGCTGGGACACTGGAGGGAGCAGTGGGGGGCCGGGACACTGGAGGGAGCAGTGCGGGGCCGGGACACTGGAGGGAGCAGTGGGAGGCTGGGAGCAGGTGGCAACTGAACCGTGGCCACTGTGGCCTCACCGGTGATGCTGATCTTGGCCGACCACTTGGACGTGCCGTCCAGCACGCTCTGCTTGACCGCCTTCATCTGCTGCGTGTGTGCTGTCTTGGTCACAGCGAATATCTCCTGGATGAGCTCGAAGATCTCGGGCTTGTTCCGCTCCCGGATCTTCATGCGGTCCTTGAGCACCATGATGATGTTCTGGGTTCGGTCCTCCGCTCCGTGCTTGGAGCTCTTCTCCGCCGCCCCTGCCAACGTGACGCCACCAAGTCACCGTGGGGAGCGAGACCCTGGATGCCCACGCCAGAGCTTCCCTGGCTGCACCACTTGCACCTTCCACTGGGGAATTTAGAAAATCACCCCCAGAGCTAGGGCGGCCAGCGAGGGCTCCCTGAATTCCCCCTTTCACAAGGCCTTACATCCTTCAGACCAAGCTATCTCTTAGCCTCTGCAGCCCACTTCTCCCGTTTCCGCCTCCCCTAGAGTCCCCTTCCCCATGGAGCCCTTTCCCCCAACAGACACCCCTTAGCGGGCCTCCCTGGGGGCACAGGGGCTGAGGCTCAGTCTAGCACCCTATCACCCTGGTGGCCTGAGTTGAATGCCCCAGCCAGGGAGGGGGTTCACATACAGCACAGCAGACCTCCCCTGTGCCCCCCACCCCCACCAGTAGTAAGTTTCAATCAATCTGCCTGTTCTGCTCCCCGCTCTGTCTCTGGTGAATCCACTCACCCCTGCACCTCTGGCCTACACCCCAGTTCTTTTTTTTTTTTTAAGATTTATTTATTTATGCATACAGAACTGGGGTACAGGCCAGAGGTGCAGGGGTAGAGGTGAGAGGATTCACCAGAGACAGAGTGGGGAGCAGAACAGGCCGACTGACGAAGTACACTGCTGAGGGGAGCAGCGGGTGGGTCAGGAGAGGTCTGCCGCGCCATGTGGGTTCAGTCAGGTATGGAACTCATGCTGAAGTGGCGTTAGCTTCTTAGTGCTGTGCTTTAACCCGCTGTGCCACCAGGGAGGACCCCTACACCCCAGTTCTTATATACACAAATAAGCAAAATATCTTAAACACACACCCTACTCTCCTCTGGCACTGCTCTACAGCTCTGAGCCACAAACCTTTAATAAGCTAACCCTGACTCATTTTTCTACCTCATAAAATCAGCCCCTGGCAGAGTTTAGCTGGCCCCAGGGCCCGCCCCACCCTCTCTGACCCTCTCCTACCTATCTTTGGGTCCTCTTACCCCCAACCCTGAAGCCGGCAGCATTGCTAGTCCCCACCCGGCTTCCAGGGGGCCCCTGGGAGCCCCACACAGCACCCCCCACTCCGAGTCCCCTCCAGCCCTCAGGCTCCCTCCCAGGCTTCCAGTTCCTTCCTCCCCGTCCATCCCGCCGGCTCCAGCCCGGCCTGCCCTGCCCTGCCCTTCCCAGCCGGCCGGCCCGGTGGAGCTCACGCTGTAGGCAGTCTGCGTTGAGCAGATCCTGGCACTTCTCGTGGCACTTGACGCCGCACTCCGTGCAGCGCATGCCCTGCCGTGCGATGCCCCACAGCAGCCCCTCGCACTCGTAGCAGTAGGTGGGCGTGGTGGCCGTCCACACCTCGAAGTTGTGCGGCGTAGTGCATGAGATGGGGTAGATTAAGGCTTGCAGGGTCTTCTTGTAAACGTGGTTTTTCTGCGGGAAGGAGATGGTGGGATGGGGTGCAAGGCCCTAAGCTGGGGGCACTGTCCTGTTCCATCCTCACCCTCATGCTGAGTCCCAGCCCCTCCCCCAATGTCAGCGTCCATGGTTCCTGTACACTGAAGGTGCTTGCTGGATGTCCAGCTATAAGGCCTTGGAAAGTGAGGAATGCCTGTCACTGTCACATCCTTCTCTTGCCAGGGGCCTTGGCCCAGAGGACGCAGCCACACCTGGCCCCGGCCCAGAGAGGGAGAGGTCCCCCACTCACCAGCTCCTCGTTGTTCAAAGTGCTGGAGGCCAAGGCTGAGGTGATGCCGGCTTTCCTGGACTGGACCAGAGACTGTGGGGGTGAGCGGGTAGAAAGGAGGGAGTCACAGAAGTTGATTGACATCCGTGGGGTTGTGACCACAAGCAGAATCCACAGCCAGGATTTGGGTCACCGGAGCAGAACCAGCAAAGAATTGGGAAGTAACAGAGTGCTGGGTTAGAAGGAACCCTGGAAGGTGAGCAGCTCCTCTCTCATTCCCGCTCCCTCACCCCACCCCAGACTAGACCTGCTTGGTCAGTTACCAACCACAGAGCACAACTGCCCACCCCACCAAGAGCCATGGGGGAAGTCACTAGGGGCCCTCCTCTCCCCCAGTGAACTGCGGGAGGACAAGGCAGGGCACCCCCCCACTAGTGCCCATGTGTTGGGGGAAAGCTGGAAGATCCCACTGGGGGGACCTAGGGAGCAGATGGGGCAGGGCTCAGGTCTCCGTTACTCACCATGGCCTGAAGTGTCCATGCAGCACACGGGGCAGAAAGGAGACCTCATTAGCGCCAGAGAATGCCTCACCAGCCCCAGCCCCAGGCCTGCCAGGAGGGGAGGTCGAGGCCGGGGCAGCCTGCGGTGGTAGGCTTGCCCTGCTGGGGGAGGGCTGTGCTCACCAGGTCGCTGACCAGTGGGATGGGCTTCCTCTTTCGGATGTCCGGCATGCTGTCTATGATGATGAGACCACCTCCAGGCCTGCAGGACACACAGATAGGACAAGGGTCAGGCCCCTCCAGAAGACATCACCAGTGCCTGAGCAGGGCATGGCCTCCCTGGATATTAAGGGTGTGTTGTAGCCCCAGCAATGATTTTGGAACCCTGTTAGATTGCAGAATTTTGGAACTGTGGGGAGAATGACTTTCTGTTGCTTTAAGTCATTCATTTGTGGTCATTTGTGATAACAACCTGGAAAGACACTCGGCCTCAATTTCCACACCTGGGAAATGGGGAGATGATGCAGTAGCCCATATGAGGAAGGAAAACTGAATTAAGGTTAACCTAAATAATGCACAAAATACCAACGAAATATTCGTGCTCAGAAGTGGAAATGTATGTGTACAATAGTATTCCTTGCCCATGGGCACCTGTCTGAGACACCCAGTGGATGCTGGTAACTGGGTTGCATCAAACCTTGTGCATACCACGTTCTCTCCTATAGCCTCAAATGCATGGTGATTTAATGTATAAATTAGGCACACTCAGAGATTAACAACAGCAACTAATAGTAAAATAGCACAATTACGACAACACACTAATAAAAGTGACACGATCATGGCCTTTCCCTCAAAATATCTTATTTTAGGAATTTAGATTGGGACTGACTGCTGGTGACAGAAGCCTTGGAAGGTAAAAACCCAGATGGGGGGAGAGCACCATATCTGATTTCAAAGCTGATGGGAAGAGGGTCTGGAAACACGGCTTGCTTGCATTACTGCGGCTTGGTGGCCTGCACAGAGGCCCCAGAAAAAGCAATGCAGCAGGTGCCCCTGAGCTGCCCACACTCACTTTGCAGAGAGGCAGGCACCGCAGACAATCTGCAGGTGTGGCTCTTCTCCAGAAGTTCCCTGCTGGCTAGTAAGAGAGATGCCAGGCAGCCAGGGACAACGGATAAGCCCCAGCTCCTGCTCCCTGCAGGAGCAGGCAGAGTCTCAGTGGCTTCTGAGCATCGCTGCTGGTGGCTCCCCAGTCTGGTCGGGCTCCCCCAGTCTGGTTCGCCTGCCTCACAGGTTTTTCCTGGAGCACTTCCTCCTAACTCACACGCCAGAACCCCTCTCAGTTCCTGCTCCCACGGCTCTCTTCCCAGGACACCTGCTCCCAGTTCCTGTCTCTCCCCGGGCTATTTTAGAACATTCCTGTAACTTTAAAATGTTTTTTGCATTATCTAATCTCACCATCCAAATGCTGAAAAAAAGCACTGCCGAAAGTTAGTAACTTGAGAAGTTAGACCAGGCAGAATATTCCATGAAAGCCCAGACAACTCTCATTATGAAAGAGCCAGCAACCAAAGCAACAATCTGAGAAACTTAAAAGCAAAAATTGAAGCCACAAATTTACTGTAGCCCACAGATTCCATCTGTGTCTCAGACTGGGGTTCTCTAGATGCCCCCAGTTTCACCTGCTATTCTGGCCTCATACCCCAGGTATGAGATTCCATCACAGTGGCCCAGTGTGAGAAATAGGTTTTGCCATTACCTGACATTTTATCTAGGGGGAAAGTGGTACTGAATCATGCTGCTCTTCTTGGACTCAGTTTCCCCTTCCATTAAATGGGAGTAGCTTTCCACCATTACCACCAGGGAGTGTTGTGAGGATTCAACAAGTTTCTATGTCTATTATACTTGTGATAGTGGCTACATTATTTCATCTGTCTCAATCTGGGAACTGATTATTTTTTTAAAGGTTTCTTTTTAGGCCCTCCCTGGTGGCGCAGCGGGTTAAAGCACAGCACTGAGAAGCTAAAGCCACTTCCGCATGAGTTCGATTCCCGCCTGCCCCGGAGGAGATCCACATGGCGTGGCAGACCTCTTCTGACCCGCCCGCTGCTCCCCTCAGCAGTGTACTTCGTCGATCTGCCTGTTCTGTTCCTCACTCTGTCTCTGGTGAAGCCTCTCACCGCCCCTGAGGCTCTGGCCTGTACCCCAGTTCTGTATGCACAAATAAATAAATCTTAAAAAAAAAAAAGATTTCTTTTTACTTTATTTATGCATACAAAAACTGGGGTGTGTTTTAGCCCAGAGGTGTGGAAGTGAAAGGATTCACCAGAGACAGAGTGGGGAGCAGAATAGGCAGATCGACTGAAATACACTGCTGAGGGGAGCAGTGGGCAAGACAGGAGAGGTCTGCTGTGCCTTGTGCCACAGAGGCCAGTGATAGTTTGATAGCTCTGAGACTATAACCCGGCATTGCTGGGGAAGCCCTTTCTGGGGCCTGTTTAACTGGAACTCCCTCCTGCCCTTCCTGAGATACTTAGTGAAAATCAGCCTGTAGCTCTGGGTTCAAAACTCCCTCCCACCTCCAAGATTCCATTACTCACCCGCCTTTGAACCACAAGGATTTGGACATCTCTCCTTCTCCCCGGGCCTGTGGGGCAGACAGACAGAGATAATCAGCATGGCTGCCCTTCTTCAGAGCAAGGCAGTCTCCACTGTCACTTCTGTCTCTCCTTTGGGCGTGGAGCGACAGGGCCAGGAGCCCTCCCTGTATGTCCGGAGGGAGCTTGCTGACTTTCTCTAAGCTCAGTTTATCCATCTGTAAAGTGGGCAGTGAGAAGATACTCTGCCACTAACCTCAGAGCGCCTTCCTCACCTCCTCAGAGGACTCGTTAACATCATCTCCAGCAAGAGCTCATGCTGTCTAATAATGGGGTTCTCTAGACGCTCCCAGTCTCACCTGCTATCCTGGCCTCATACCCCAGGGCCTCTGCCTGAGCTGAGCCACCTGCCTGTCCTCCCATCTTCTGCACCAGACCAGCCTCCATGCATCCCTCCCATCTCAGTGTGAACCCAGAGTTGACACTACCTACGTCCTTTGCAACTAAAAGGCAGCATGGCAGGAGGCGGGCATGGGGTATGGGGCCATGCCTTGAGAAAAACTGCCAAAGTATTTGGGGTATCACTTCTGCTTAAGTGTTACCTCCTCCAGGGAGCTTTTTCTGAGTGTTTTGATTCAGATGTCTGATACTTACGTGAAACCCAGAGTCCACCCATGGTTATTTTATTTTATTTTTTTTTTTTGTCATATTGCTATTTTCACAAACAGGGTAGCTGCTGTTTTTTAATTTTTAATTTTTTGACTTATTGGAAGCTAATCAATAGACTTTTAACCGTATGGTAGGTCTTCACGTAAGACTGCTCAGATCAACATCATTTGTTACAACATTGATGAGAAAAAATAATGCCAGGTGAAGTTAAACAGAATGACACTATTCTAGGACCCAGTTTTGCATAGAGCCATAGTTTCTAAAAGCCTGTGGATGACAGTAAGTGAGAACCACCGATTCTATGTTTATGTTTATGGATTACTTTCAACCTTTTGAATTTAGAGTCATGGGAATATATATATTGCTTAGTGCAAAATAAATTCCATTTGAAAACCAATGAGGATTCAACCTGAAATTTCTGTGCTCTGATATTTTATGTCCAAGATTCCATTGCTTGTTTAGGATCTCCTGCCAGACTCACCCCAGTTTGGGAGGTCACCTTAGATAATAACACTGCTGCTCACTGCCCAGAGGTGGGCATGACGCAGGAGCACACGAATGGTCACAGTTCTGCTGCCCCCTCTGAATAGTCACCATAACCAGAGTTCCTTCTGTCACCTAATTCCTTCTCTCAGACTGACCTTGACCTCCCCCTCCCCTGACCCCAACTGTGATCCCAAGCCCACCAACACCAGTTCTAACCCTGCCCTCAACCTCCATCTCTATCTCTGAGTGACCCTGATGTGGCCATGACAAGCTCCAGATTCTACCTTGCTTCGCTTCTTCCCCCACTTAGAAATCAATCTCAGACTGGCATGGGGAAGACTGGCCTTGATGGGAGTTGGCTGTTAGGAAGGACAGGCAGGCCTGGGTGGGGCTGGGAGGGCCCTTCTGGGGATGGGTCAAAGTGCCCCAGCGCAGGTTGGGCAAAGGTAGGTAAGGCCAAGTCATGTTAATGTGGGTAGGAGCCCTGGAAAGACCAGGATATAAGGAGAGTTAGGCGTGATGGGGTGAGGAGGTGGGTGTGGCCCAGCTGCCTAGTGGTGGGGCCACTGCTGGTGTGGGCGGGGCAAATGGGTCTTGGGAGGCGTAGTGGGCTCAGACTGAAGGTGGGGAGGTTGGGGAGACACCGGGTGGCCAGGCTGGCTGAGCACCCACCGCTCTCACTCACCTCTTGCAGCTGCAGCCTCACTTTGTTGAAAGCTCGAAGCCAGTTGGATTTGGCCCTGGACATGGAATCCTGACCCTCCTGGCCTTCCTCATTTTCTCTCAGCCTGAATCGAAGCAAGCGGGTTGTTGACAGGGGCCAGTTCCCCCGTTACCCCTACCCCCCACCCTCTGAATGACGCCAGGTCATCTCTTTGGACCACTCGGCCCTTGAGAGACACCATGACTCCTGTGTGGCCCTCTGAAAGGCCCGGTACCCTGCCCATAGTGTCTCTAAGAGCTGCAGGTCCCCTGGCTCCCTCTCCCATTCTGTGACCCTTTTGGCCCTTGTTAATCCGATCTGCTCAGGGCCCTTCCCATGCACTGTGACCTCCCCAACCATGTCAAACTCTTTGCCCTTAGACACCATAAGGTCCCTTCCCCATTTTGTTTGACCCCCTCCCACTGGATAGCTTTGACCTCCCTGGTCCAATCCTCCATTTCTGATTGTTTTAAGCCCCAAGCCCTGTGACTTCCTCTGCCACCATGGCCCTGGAAAGGGCCTCTGCCTCCTCCCAGGTGACCCTGACCCCATGGCCTTGGACAGGGTCTCTACCTCCTCCCATTACCTCTCCTCATCCTTGGGGGGCTCTGGCTCAGGTGCCCGCTCAGCTGCGGGCGTCTCCTCTGGTGCAGGTGGTTCTGGGACCTCCTTGGCCACTTCTGGGGCCTCAGCAGGTGCCGCCGGGGCTTTGTCTTCCTTCTCTGACAGGAGGCTGATGCGCTTGAAGTCCTTGGGCTCGGGGACAGCAGCCTCCTTGACATAGTCGTCAATGTCATCTGGCACTTCCTCCTCCTCCTCCAGCTCCTCCTCATCCTCAGGCAGCTCCTCCTCCTCCTCCTCCAGGTAGTCCTCCAGATCCTCATCCAGTTCCTCATCCAGCTCTTCATCCAACTCCTCCTCGTCCTGGTCCCAGCGTGGTGAGTCCTTGTGGTAGCTGACCGAGCTGTGGCACGAGTGGTAGGAGTCCCGGTCCCTTTCGTCCTCCAACTCAGAGCCCTGTAGGCTCTGCTCGTCGGGATCGAAGTCCTCGCTTAGCTGTGAGCTGCCCTGGCTCAGCTCCCCAGAGGAGGCATAGCGGCTGCTGCCTGTGGGGCTATGTGGATAGACTGGTCTCAGGGCTGGGGCACACAGCTGCCGCCCAACCCGCTTCCGTCACCCAGTCATTCACTCAATTGAACACAGGGGAACAGCCATGAGCAGAAGACGCAAAGGTTCCTACTCTGTGGCATTTACTCTGGGGGTCAGTTGCAAGGCGGACAGGTAATATAGCAGATCGGTGACGTCAGTGATGGCTGACCTACTGTGCGTCACTGCTGCATAGGCACTGTGCAAGCTGCAGGTGCTCGGCCTGCTTGCTGCAGGCCCAGTCAGTGTCCCTGCCACAGCTCCACAGACTCTCAGAAATTGAAAGTAGCTCTTCAAGATGGTTCTCTCACTGCCAAACCCCTCCACTAGCAGGGACTTCCCTGTCTCTGCTCCTTTTACCTGACACCACCTCAGAAATGTATTCAAAATGTACCCACACCCCTGCCCCCCAAGCCCCACCTGGCCCAGGCTCTGCCATTTGGGTCAGGTGCTGCCCGCATATCCACTACTGTCCCTGGTACCTGCCTCTCATGGAAGCCACAAGAGACTCTTGGAATCATTAACTCAATCACAGATCTTCCTGCTCCAAATCCTACCATGGCTCCTTAATGCCCTTGAATAAAACCCATGCCATGCTCTGCACCCCCGAGCTCCCAACCTTCATCTCCCTCCACCCTCCCTTCTCATTCCCCAGCCACCCCAACCTCCTCACTGTTTTGTTTTTTTTTTAAAGATTTATTTTATTTATGCATACAAGAACTGTGGTATAGGCCAGAGGTAAGCATGAGAGGATTCACCAGAGACAGAGCAGGGAGCAGAATGGGCAGATCGACTGAAACACACTGCTGAGGGGAGTGGTCAGGAGAGGTCTGCCACACTGTGTGGGTCACCTCCCTGGTGGGAGATTGAACTCGGGCTGTGGTGGCTGCGATAGCTTCATAGTGCTGCGCTTCACCCCCTTCTGCCACCAGGGAGGCTCCTCCTCACTGTTCTTCTAACATCTTTAGCCTCTTCTTACCTCCAGGCCTTTGCACAGAACATCCTTCTTCCTACTACTTTATCTGGAGAATGCTTCCCCACCTCATATACTCCTATAAGTACCTTGGATCGCTGGACATGACCAGAAGAAACCTGTCTCTGCCCAAGGGCAGGGCGTGTGCACATACGCCAGCACTCCATGGCCTCTAATCATTCAGTCACTCAACAACAGCCTTCCTTGTCTTAAACACTTCCTCCCGGAGTGGGAGCTGGCAACCCCTTCCCTACCGGTCCTTGGGATATTATAGGAATCAAGCATCTATTTTTGTTGGCTACTTATATATTTATTGGTTGTTTTTAGTGCCTGTCTTGTAGACTGGAGTGGAATGGGGGAGTAAGGAGCCATTTATAGATATAAATGGCTAGATATAGCTAGAATGGCTATTAAGAATTCTAAGCTCTTGTTGGTAAATACATTCCTTCAAAGTCTATTCCAGTACATTCTGGGATCCCCAGTGAGGGGGGAGGCAGCCTAGAATGGGGTCCCAGCAGAGGCCCAGACATGCCTCATCTTATCACCATGGGGACCTGGTGAACTTCCCCGGTCAAACTGAGGGGTGTGACCTGGTGGCCACCAAGATTCCCATGTACACCTCTACATACTAGGCTCTGGCATTTGAGGTCTTCATCTAGCAATGTGTCTCTAATCCCCCCATGCTTAAATTCTTCCCTGACTTCTAAGTCCTGGAGTTGGCCACCCAATGGCCTTCCTGCAGGATCTGGCTTCATCCGCTTCTTCAGTCTTTAGCTGAACTATTTCCTCTGTTTGACATCTTCCTCCTCAAGTATTTCATTATCTTTCAAGGGTCAGCTCCCAGGCAACCTTCTCTAGAAAACCCTTCCTAAGCTCCCCTATCACCAATGTTCAGGCATTCTCTCCTCCAGCCAAGCCCTGTCCTTTGGGATGGACTGTGAGTCCTGTGCTGTCTCTCCTGTCTCATGGGACCCCAGTATCACCTAGTACCAGGCAGCCAGCTTTCAACAAGACCAGTTAGAGTCGTTCATGCTGCTTTTGGCCTCTGTATCTTCTCTGTCTTCTGGAAGTTCTTCCCTCACCTCTTTGTAAATGTGTCTGGCACAAGGAAGTGACCCTCCCCATTCTCTCTCAGAAATTCTCATAGTGTAACACACACACATGCAAGGCCAGAGTAGAATGAGAAGCACCACACACATAGGATGGGAGCCAGACCAGGAACTTGCTTGGTGGACTTTAAACTCGGAAGTAGGCACCTTACACCTGCCCTGTGACCCTCAATTTCCTGATCTGAAAGATGACCATCAGCCAGACACATGCTTCCCGGTCTCTTGGACATTCACAGAGGTGGCGGGGAGCACAGAGCTGACTCATGCAGGAAGAAAGTCTCAGCGAGTCAAGCATTCTCTCCAAGAAAGACTTTCCCCAACAAACACACTTCCCGAAACCCTGTGGTCCCTTTCCTGCTCTTTTTCTCCAAGGGTGGGAGACACCACCACATCATAAGATCTCCCCTTTCATAAGAGTTAACATTTTATTAATACTTAATATCTTATTTCGCTTTGGCCTGTTTCCGACAAGCTGAAGTTTTGTTCTCATCATTACTTAAATCTAACCCAGCATATGTGCATCAATGTATCAGGCTTTAAAAACTGTAGAGCTTGAGGGCCCTCCCTGGTGGTACACTGGGCTAAAGTTCAGCATGCAAGCTAGCGTCAGCCGCTTCAGTGCGAGTTCGATCCCCAGCCCTGGAGGTGACCCACATGGCATAAAAGACCTCTCCTGACCCGCCCGCTGCTCCCTTCAGCAGTGTACTTCCTCAGCCAGCCTGTTCTGCTCCCCACTCAGTCTCTGGTGAATCCTCTCACCACCCCTCACCTCTGGTCTGTACCCCAGATCTGTATGCATAAATAAATAAATCTTTTAAAAATAAAATAAAATTGCAGAGCTTGAAAAAAATGGTCAATAAGCTGTTAAGGAGAGAAGAGTGCTTCTGAAGGTGTTTTCAATAAGGCAGTCACACACAAAGGAAAAGAGAGCTAGTTCTTTGCCTAAGTACATATAGGATGGCTTGAACACAAAGGATTTAAGTGAAGAACACCAGAGGATTGCCACATGGAATTGAGTCTACTCCCACCTCTCTCACTGTTTTACCTTGACTATTTCATTTCACTTCCTAAAAAGTAAAGATGATAGGTGGATGTTCAAGTTTTTCAAAAAGTCCCTTCCCAAACATTCCAACTATAAACCATATCAGTTTTCTATGGTTCAGTCGCATGTCACCTAACCACCTTCTGGTCGACAGGGACCAGCTCACCTGGCTGAGCCATTGAGGCTCCTGGGTAGTGGGCTGCCCTGTATCTAGCAATGTGTCTCTAATCCCCCCATACTTAAGGCTCCCAAGGCCTGGAGTTGGCCACCCAATGGCCTTCCTGCAGGATCTGGCCTCATCCTAGGTGTGTGTCATGACATGTTCCGGCATTCACGTGGACATAAGATCGCCTTACAACACATTTCTCAGAATGTGTCCCTGTCATTAAGGGACAGGTGATTGTATGAAATAGAGGAAAATTCAAAATCAAAGTTTCTCAAGTAACTGCAAAAATAAATGGTGCTGGCTGACACTGAAGATAGAATAGGAAGCTCATGAAGATTTTCTTCAAATTATGTTTCCAAACTCCCTACCTTACTGTTCCATAGCACTTTTGGCCAAGCTGGAAATGTTTCTACCGGCACCCTCCCACACAACGGCCACCAGCTCCATGCACACGATCCTGGGCACTTGAGAGGGTGCCTGATATAGGGTATGAAGTTTTACTTCATTTACTTTAGTTAAGTTTAACTTAAAGCGCCACGTGTGGCTATCCTGTGGGATAGGTGGCTCTGGAAGCTCCGTCTTCCTCCTACATGGACATAGACAAGACTTGCTTTCTTACTCCACAAGACAGCCACGCTAAGGGTTTCTCCTCCTCGGAGCGGTGTTGTCAGCACCTGTTTGCCTGCCTAGCCTCTGTGCCTGGGTCGAGGAGGCCTAAAGGTCAGGCGCCTTCATGGCTGTGTTTAACCACTGGATGTGGCCCCTGAATTGTTCAGTATGACAGAGGAGCCCTTTGGCCAGGATGGTGTATGCCACTCCTAGGCAGCACTTACACCTCAAGGAAGCTGACTTTGCAGCTTCCTAGACAGTATTTTTCAGGGCTACGAGGCCGTGTGGTGTGGTGGCTGCGGACTCAGAAGCCTGCTTGACAGGATTTAAACCCTGGCTCAGCCTCTTACCATGCCAGATGTGACCTTGGTAAAGTCACTTAACTCTCTGTGCCTCATTTTCCATATGTACAAAGCTTGAGGTGAGGAAGCCAATCCTCACTAGTAAGACAGGTATAAAGAATACATGAATTATTATTCCCATAGTCTAATGAGTCAAGACAGATTAGAATGCCTAGGCTATAGTGAGTGCTCAGTTAACCAGCACCACTTTCTCACATGTAGAGTAGATAGAGCAGGACAGGGATCATGTTGAGGTGGTCAAGGCCAAGACCGACAAGTGCAAAGTAAGATCCTGTCTTTGTTTAAAATTTTGATAGTTTGCTCATTATGGATTTTTAGAAATTTCCCTGAAGTATAACATATGTACAACAAAATTTACTTTGAAAAGGGTTCACTTTAATAATTTTTTCATGGATCTTTTTGCATTTATTTTGATGTTTAAAAATATTATATTGAAGTATTATGTATCTTAATGACTGAGGTTTCTGGCACCCAAAAAGGCAACTTCAAGTACACCTCATTCACCTCACCCTAGTCCTGCACCCAAGAATTAGATAACTTGCGACTCACGGTAACAAGAAGCCCTGGGGTGTGTGAGAACTGAATCTAAAATCTGAAGCAAAGATTTTTGGAGTCTTATTATTGTAATACAAGTAAAGTTTTAACATCGAGTGTGTGTAGAACATTTAAAACTTCCTTCTTACCCACTCCTGAATGGAGGAAATGAATTCTTTGGGGAATAGACATTTGGAAAGAGATCCACGAGCAAAAAATCATGGAAGTCACTTCTCAGCACCCAGTAGGTTCACCCTGAGTGTTTACTCTTTGCGTCCTCAGCAAATGACTGAACCTGTATGTGCCTTTATTCTCTGCCTGTCAAATGAGGCCAATATGCTTCCACTCAGAGGGCTAGATGAGATGATGATGGCAAGGTGCTGGCTTGGCAGCGGGCACATTTAGATGTTTCTACTACTAGTTATGATATTTGTTTACCTAACAGTCACGCCACCATATCTGCAGGCATCCTGCCCTGCTCCAACCCCGGGCCGGTGGCACAGGTCCAGAGACAGCTTACTTTCAGGGAGTAGTGAGGGTGGCTAAACAGAAAGGGGGCCACTCCCACGTCACTGTGTTCATGTCTGCTAGTCAGAAACACCAGGTCAGAGGCCACCAGGGAGGGCTGAGAGAGACCACCCTGGCTCACAGGCCAGCTGCTTCCAACATCTTTATCTCTTCCTCTACTCATCCTTCCCCCGCCCAGCTGGCAAGACACAGTGGCCATTAACTTTTAGCAGTTTGAGGAACCTCCAAACAGTTTTCCATAGTGGTTGTACTAGTTTGCATTCCCACCGGCCATTAACTTTTAAAGGGGCTGCCAAGGAGTGCTATATTTCAGGGGAACTGCTCAAGGGCCTCATGATTCCCTTCTCTTTCTTCAGCCAATGTATACCTTTTAATTAAGCTTGTTTACTTGCAAGATTTGGGTAAAGGAAGGGCTCCATTGACGCAAAAAAGAATGGAGCTGATTTTCTTGATCCAACTACCTGCATCTCCAGTTCTTTCAAGTCTCCAACTCACAGAGCCAGATGTGCAAAGGCACACACGCACACACACACACACAGAGTTCGTGGCTCTCATAATGACTACCTGAGGGCCCGTGGCTCGGAGAACTCCTCATAACTGTGCATGGAGTCACTGTAGGATTCTCGGGAACCTAGGGGAGGTGGGCGGACGGAATACTGGTGGACTGAAGCATTGGGCTGGGATGTAGTGTAATAGGGCGGCGGGATACTGTTGCTGGTCTCGCTGCGGTAATCACTGTCTCGGTCATCTACTGCACTATCGGGGTCATCATCTGGAAGGAAGTGGAGGTGAAAGGAAAGAGTCAGGAGTGGGGAGAGAGAGAGAGAGAAACAGAGCATACAATAGGGGAGGGGTCTTTACTGATAGTTAAGTTGAGAAAGCTACCAGACTGAAGGAGCTTGGGTCATGTTAACAGAGATATAACCTTTAGAATGCAGGACCTGAAAATCATGCTCTGCCTCATGTGGTCACGATGAACCAACGGTCAGGGTCTAGGGGTATGTTCTTCGAAGTGAGGAAGACAGGGACAAGATTAATTGGAGGTTTTTCTTCAGTCCAAATTTGAAAATAGATTTTGTTAAAATCCAGACTCTTTGAAAACAAGATGGCTTTTCCACTGGGTAGTGGCTAGACTTGTAGTTATCATGAAGAAAAGGCAATGCTAGATGGGTTGAAATTTGGGATATGAAACCTGAACATTCCCACACAAAACTTAGATAATGTCAATGTTACCAAATTGTTCCTCTGGCTAATTTCTTATCTACCTTTCTATCTGTGTCTTTGGTTCAATTGGCATTCGTTCTGTTGAAGGTGTCCTTGCCTGCTCTGACATGTTTCCAGTCAAGTTACATGGGGCTACTTGCCTATTCACCAATTTTTTTCCCCCTTGGCAAATAGTCTGTTTTTGAGAGATAAATTGCTTTCTATTGCATTTTTTTCAAATAGTATTTTTGTTTTTATTTATTTGTTTATTTATTTATTTATTTAGATCAAATTATTCCTTAGGTAGGGCTAAGTCATTTTTAGCCACTTTTATTTTGGCCAAATGACCTGTTTGGGTCCCAATTGCTTGATTGACTTTTAACTAAAATGGTTTTGTTTTTACTGGTATTGTTTGTTTGGGGCAAACTGGTTGTTACCTAGTCGACTTATCAGCCAAGTATCCACTTTGGCTTCTGTCTGACTTGTTTTTGACAAATTGTTTTGAGTCCCAGGATTTGCAAACAGTTTCCCGAGTCCTGGTGGGTGGACAGAGTCTGGCTTGACCGCCAGGGAATGGAGATGGGTGGAGGAACCCTTAGTTCCTTGAGGAGAGGTGGTAGATTTATGTTCTGACATAAGTACTGGATTACTCTGAAGTTGTCGGACTCAGGGAAGTGGGAGATATTCCTAAAGAGAAAAATGGACATTTACTTGCAGGGGGGTTGATTTCCCAAGGGGGGCACACTGGAGGAAAAGTGGCTGGGGTTTTAGGAGCTGAAATCTCTAGAGTGGTATTTTTCAGGGGGACCCTCCCCCCAGCTGCTCTCCCTTCCCTACTCATTAGCTTTGAATGGTATTAGGGTGCATTTCTTTGTGGAAGAGGGAGATGGTGAGACAAAATGAGGAAGGCATCACAGGAGGAGAAATGAAGTTATATGTGAGGGGTAGGAGGAGAGGGATCACAGTTGCCCAGCTGTAGACAGGGAGAGCTCCTGTCTAAATGCCCCCTCCCACCTGAATCACCCCAACCAAATGGTGGTGCTTACTTCCCACCAGGTAGAGCAGGACCCCAAGACACACATCAATTGCCAGGAGGCAGGAGGGCACAGGAAGCGTTTGCCAGTCCTCTGACCCCAATGTGCCTGTACCAGGCTCCCTGCTTCTCTGCGAGGTAAGGCAGGAGCCTCAGGGTCACCAAGGTAACCACCTCCCCTGGCCTCCAAAAACATCAAACTGGGTACTTACTTTGCTGCTCACCCCAGCCAAAATAATTCCAGTTGCCTACAAAGAGAAGGGGCAGAGATAATAAAAGGGAGTAGGAAGAAGGGGGCATGGGAATGTGAGATTACCCCATCCTCCTCGTTCTCCCCATCCCCTCCTCCCAGGACCCAGTTCCCTCCTGTACTTAGTATTTTCCCATCGTCACTGACCTTTGTCATGCCTTAGCTTACCACCTTGGGAGGAAGGCAGGATATCCCCATTTTGTTTGTTTGTTTCTTTGTATTTGTTTGTTTGTTTGTTGTACAAGGCCAGAGGCTCAGTCAGCAAGTAACAAAGGAGGCATTTGAGTTTAGGGTTTTCCAACTCTGAAGTCTGGGGTCAGCATTCCCCACTTTTTCCCTCCCCATCTAGAGGATGAGCAGAGAAACACTGGACTGGAGATCCTAGGCTTTGAAACACTCCTGTTGGGTGGAACTTTTGAAAAATCATTCTTCTCATTTTACAGGTGAAGAAACAGGGCTCAGAGAAGTGGAGTGAGCTGCCTACAGTTACACAACTTCTGAGCATCAGGGTCAGACAGAGAACCATGTTGTGACCCTCATTCCTTGTACCTGGAATCTCAGAAAAATATCTTGGACCAGAATCCAGACTCCTCTGACACTTGGTTGCCTCCTCTGTGAAACAGGATCAACAAAACAGTCACAAGAGGACTTGGAGACAGATGGACTTTCATTTCCAAGTCAAACCCATCCCACACTTCATTCCACTTGTCCAGGTGTTCCTGCCTCCACCTTGCCTGATCCTGCCCTCACCACAATTCTTCAATCACCCATTCCTAGGGACTGTAATTCCTTCAAGACAGTAACAACTCCTCAGTAGAGAGGGAAGTCAAGGAACTTTCTCAGTATCACACCCCAAGTTGATGCAGGAACAGGGTCTCCAAATACAATATTCCAGCCCCTCCCCAGCTAGGCCCAAATCTCACCCTCCTGAGTATTTGTGTCAGGAGGAGGGTCAAAGGATAAGGGGATACTGTGAGAGGGGGAAAATGGGGGAATGAGGAAGTAGATGGAAAAGGATAAAAAGGTTGAAGGGGGAGTGGGGGCAAATTGTCATGGGTGAGGACTATATGATTTGTCCCTTCCTCCCCACTCCAGAGGACACAGGGGGCTCTTTTATAGGGAGCCATCTCCTTGGCCCATGGAGACCTGGTCTGGATGCATCTGAGTGCCCACAGGGTTGAGAACAAATACTCCTGAAAATTCCAGCCTTGATGGAGGGGCAGTAGGCAGAGGATCATCATCATCATCATCATCATTAATAGATGAAATACAGTGGAAAGAGAAACAAACTTGGAGTCCCTCAGACCTGGGTTCAAATCCTGGTTCTGCCTCCTGCTGGGTGTGTGACCTTGGGCAAGTCGCTTCTCCTCTTGGGCCTCAGTTTCTTCATCTAAGAAAATGGGTGAATGAAACAGCCTTTGTTTATTGCACATGTGCCTATTGTACATGTGTTGGACCATCTCTCCATGTTTGTACCATTTGACTTTGGATTGCTTGCAGGTCTGTATTGACCCCCAAGTTTGTTGAACAACTAGAGGCCCTAATCCAAGATCTGATTTATGGAAGTTTGAAGTCTTAAAAGAGTTTTTCAAGCCTCTGGATATCCTGGGTCATTCCAACTGCCCTCAGAGTTAGGGAGCTATCAGAGTTAGGGTGCCCCATTTCAAAAAAGGAACTCTAAAGAGAGGGACTCTGGAATGCCAATGGCCACATAGCAAGGAAGGACTTAAACACAAGTCCCAGATCTCTCCTTTTCCCACTACACTGTAAGTAGATACCATGCACACTTGGAACCTGTATCTCTGGAGGGAAGTGATCTGTTACATTGGACTGTCATGTGGTGGGGGAGGAATGAGAGTTTCAGCTGATGTCCAGGGAGAAACCAAGAGGTACTTACAACACTGATTGCTGGGGACAGGGAGAGGCTTGTCTTGCTCATCTTGGAATGAATACTGAGAGGGAAGGAAGGAGAGAGGGTCATCTCAGGATATTCAAAAACAGAGAACCATGGTCCTCTGTTCTGTTCCATGTTGACTACTCCCTGCCTCCTGAATGCTCACCCTCTGCAAAAGTATACAGATGTTCATAGAAGGAAAAAGAGTGAAAGAGACAGTGATAAGCAGAGCTAGGCAAAAATACTTAGAGGATAGAGAGAATATAAGAGGCAGGGAAGTGAAGAAAGAAAAAAAGATGAAATTGACAAAAAAATTATTAACATATGAATGTTGCTCTCCACTTCCTACTAAAGAATGTTCTAGCCCCTTGCCCTTATTTCCTCTCCACCCTCTCCTTCTGAAGGCTGGCTTCTGGGCCACATTAGATCTTTGCATTGTGATGATACAGAGCTAAGAAGGGAAATGCCATGGAAAAACAGAGGTACAGGGTGTGGGGCAGAGTGAGATATAAAAATTGCTGCAGGCAGGTTAAAGCACAGCACTAAGAAGCTAAAGCCACTTTAGCATGAGTTCTATCCCCACACTGGAGGTGACCCACACGGTGTGGCAGACCCCTCCTGTCCCACCCGATGCTCCCCTCAGCAGTGTACTTCATCAGTCCACTTGTTCTGCTCCCCACCCTGTCTCTGGTGAATCCTCTCACTGCCCCTGCGTCTCTGGCCTGTACCCCAGTTCTGTATATATAAGTAAATATTTAAAAAAAAAAAAAGAATTGCTGCAGGACCCCTGTATATTGAAGGATTTGGAAAACACAAAACTTGAGTTAACTGAAATGGTTACATCATTGGTGGAACTATGTTCCTTGACTCTTTGAGACTGGATTACATGGGTCACTGATGGAATTGGGTTACAGAGTTAGAGACACAGATAAGCAAAGAGAAACAGACAGAGCAGAGTATTTTGGGAGATAAAGAGGCACTCAGGAGAACAGCCCTTTACCAACACTCACCTCATCTTGGTCTCTCATGGCATTCAACTGTTCCAGCTTCTTGGCCCAATATCGTGCCTCCTCCTCAGGAATGTCTAAAAGCAAAGCCCTGGTTATGAGTTTGAAAGCCCCTCCCCACTCTCCATACTCCGTCCAATGCAATTCCATTGTGTGGGAGGAGAGTAATGTTCTTGACCTTTATTACCCCAAAGCTGTCTTAGGAATGGATAGAAGATGGAAAGAAAATGTAGCCTACCATTACAAGGGCGGGAAAGATGGGAGTTCTTGGGAGGGCAATAGGGGAAATCTAAGCTGCTTCCAGGAAAGGTAGAGAGGACTCTGTCTCTGCTTGTCTTTTTATTTCTACATCTCTCTATCTCTGTCTTTGTTTTTTCTTCTGACTTTGGGTCTCTCTCTCCATTTTTCCCTGTCCCTCTGTCTGCCTCCGTCTGTTTCTCCCCACCCTGCCTCCCCATCTTTTGGCTTCTCCTCCCATCTACAGCTTGTTGCTGAAGACATGGTCTTATGGGGGATCTTCCAGGAGAGGTTGGACCCAAGTCATAGGTTCCCCTCTTTGTTGGCAGCCTTATGAACTGGAACATGTCCTGCACATGATAGATGCATGTTGCTGACTTGTTGTAACCCAAGGAAGCTCTCTCCTCTAGTGAGAGGGAGCCCCATGGGCAGAGTGATGAATCATTTGACCCCACCTAAGTTCAGCCAGTCTCTTGGGGCCAGTAAGGGTCCACCTCTCTGCTCTCACCTAAGGGCAACTCAAAGCGGGTGTCCAGGAGGATACGGTGGAAGGTGGGATCCTTGGTGCCACAGATCTCACTGTCTGCCATGATGACCTGAGAATCCAGCGTCAGCCACTCTCCAGGGCCCTCCTGGAATAGGGGGGAAATAGGGATTAGGGTCTTGGGTGAAGCAGGGAGCAACTGAGTATCTATTACATTCTAGCCAGCAGCCCCCACTTTCATATAAGCTGTTTCATTTACCTCAACTCCTTTGGACCCCAGTGGCAAATGTCACATCCCCTCTCTATATTAAAGAAACAGGTTCAAAGGGAAGGTCCCACTCCAGGGCAACATGGTGGGTCTGTGGGACCCAGAGGCAAGGATCAGAAATGGATTAACCAAGGGTGGTCCCTGCCTTACACAGCCATTCTCTATATCTGAAGAAGGGCTCTGGGACCCTAGTTTCAAATAAAAGCCCTGATGCTCCCACCATCTTGAAGCATCCTTGAGTACATCACCAGTCTCCATAATTCAGAGACATGAGCCTTTGAGCAGAAAGGGTCTAGTGTGAACCTCTGCTTATTCATCTCTCAAATGAGAAGGATGTTCTGCAGAATCTACTCTCTGCAGCCCCAGAGAGGCTGCAAGGGTGAGAGTAGTAGTCTAGAGTCTTGTACATGATGCCCCAGGTGACCAGGCCTTCCTCATACTTGGTGGATCACTGAGGAAATTCTGGGTCATCCTCAAGCCTCCTTCTGCACTCACTTGTCTGGGCAATCATACATATCTCCTCCCTCTTCATTCATTCTAAAGCAAACCCTCCATAACAACATCTTGAGGTCTATGAGGAGTGAGTTTGGGTTGTGGGGTGAGCTAGGACTGGCAATGTGGGCACTTGCTCTCCAGATCTTCCAGGGGAGATGGGTGGGTAGGGAAGGACAGGGTTCTGGGGTACCAAGATCCTGCTAGGGTTAGCATGGAATGGCTGAGAGGAGGGGGTGAGACTTATTGCTGTTGACACTTGGTACCTCTAGGACTTTTGGGGCTAGTGTAGTCTTCTCACTGCCCAAAGCCTTCTCTTCTTTTCCATAACAACATATTTTTCACTAGACTCCCTTGCAGCTAAGTTGGGGGTCACATGACTAAGTTCTGTTCAGCAGGATGTGTGTGAAGTACAGTGAGTTGCTGCCAGACTGGACCCTTAACAACGAGGACAAACCCATTCCCGTGCCACCTTTCCCTCTCCTGACTGGATGCTGATGTAATGGTGATCTTTGAGCAGTCATCTTGGGACATGAGGTGGGAGTCACATAGGGAGAAAGACAGAACAACAAGATGAAAGGAGTATGGCCCCATTGACTTGGACACCACCACAGCAGCCCTGGATGTCTACTTTAAGGGGATAAATGTCCATTTTGTTCCCCCACTGGTAGTTGTATCCTCCCACGTAATTCTCTCCAGGGCTTAGTCTATCACTTACTTCATTAGACTGCCGGATGGTCCTTAATGGGATCCACACAGTCCCCACCATTGTGTCCCAGATGAGACCCTTATTCCACACCTCCACCGTCAGCCCCAAATCCAGGCGGTTAATCTCACTGGAGAGAAGAGAGGGGACATGAAGGGAATGGAGACTGAGAGAAGTCAATTCACTAGCCTTAGGACACACATACAACTGAAATTCAAATCCAGGCCTGGATAAATCCTACCCAGGAAAGTACACGATGATTCTCATTTTACAGAGGGGATACTGAGGTCAAGGGTGAAGTTACAAGATGAAGGTGTCAGAGAAGAACCAGGATTCCAAGCTGGAAGGGAAGTGGAAACAGGTATCACACATATCTTGCTTGATACTTCTTTTAGCCTTCAGATCCTGAGAATGCTGAGGAAGAAACTCAGCACCCTCTGGAGCTTGCTATTACCCCAGGGTAAGGGTATTCAGGTTGCCGCCATCTTTCCAGTGTCATCTCCAGGTACATGATGATGCCCTCGAGCTTATGAATGAAACTACCTCTAAGCCCTTTCCCTGTAGGCCTTGGCCAAGGAACACACCCATTTGGGGAAAAATAGTGAAAGCTCACTGAATTTGCCAACTTAGCGAAGATTTATCTTAAGGAATGATCTGCTGGGATACATCTGTTTCTTGACCTTGTCATATACAGTAACTAGTTTTTGGGGAATGGAGACCATTCTGTCCCTCCCCCATTCACATCTCTAAAATAGTATGGCTGGTTCTCTCTGCCCCAGACATTTCTCTTTAGGGTCCCAGTTCTGAGTCTCTCATAGTTTCAAGCGCTGACAGCCCCCAGCCAGGCTCTACTTAGAGGGTTAAGTGCTGCCTGGGTCCAAATCCCAGTTCTGCCAGGCACAGAGAGTGGCTTTGCCTCTGGGCTTCCATTTCCTCATCTGTAAAATGAGGATTACAAGGCTCCCCCCACCCCAACCCCATTGTCGGCAAATAGTTAATTGAATCAAGTCATGTAAAGCTTTAGAAGATGGCAAGGCACACATTGCTGGCTATCATCAGCAGATGGTGTGTGATATAATTTCTTGGGTGGGTGAAAGTTAAGGGGAGAATTCAGGTCATTAGCTCAGTCATTAGGCAATATTTATTGAGCCAATGGCATGTGTGCCAGACCCTGAAAGGGCATGAGGGTTCCAGTAGACAGGACCAATTCGGGCTGACTCTCCAGGAGCTCACAATCTGAAAACAAGGACCACAAATGTTTCCCAAGATCTCATAAATGACTAAAATCAACTAGTGGCAAGAACTGAAATTAACCTGCAATTGTAGCTTAGGGTGGCAGTCAGAGAGGGGATCTCTGAGGAGATGACACAAGCTCAAGACAGAAAGAAAAGAGGAGACAACTAGGGGTGAGGGAGGGTAGGAAGAGCAAATGCAAAGGCCCAGAGGCAGGAGAAAGCCAGACTGTGGGAGGAAAGGCGCAGAGTGTGTGGCTGGGGCCGTGAAGCCAGGTGACATGAAGGGTGAGATGAGGAGCCTCAGGGACAAAGCTTGGGTTCTCTGGGGAAGTGTGTGGGTTTTCTTCTGAGGTCGAAGAGGAGCCCTAGGCAAGTTTGGAGAGCTGCAGGATGTTATTTGCAGCTTTAAAAATATCCCCCTGGCTGCCTGGAGGCAAACAGATTGTAGGGAAGGCAGATGGCAGCGGGGAGGCCAGGCTGGGGGCTGGAGGCCTTGGAGATAGAGGGAAGTGAGGATTCAGAAAGCGCTTTGGAGGCAAGGCTAATGGCTGGGCCCTGAGAAGGAGGGAGGAGGGGGAAGAGAAACTCCAGGTGACACTCAAGTGTCCAGCTCTGCCCAGTGAGGCCAGCAAGGCCTGGCTGAGCAGGGGCGAGGCAGGATTGCTGAAGACTTACAACATGAAATCCTGCTCCCAGCTGGGTTGGCTGCCACGCACAGCGATCGTTGTGCTCTTGACATTCTGCACCTTCAGGGTCACGTACGTGTTGAATTTCTCTGTGGTGGGGAGACAGGGGTCCGTATAGGGTCTCTGGCACACCCCCACAGACCTTCCCCAGCTCTAGTTGACTCTGTTTTGATCCCAAGGGACTACATGCATTTGGGGTAGCTCCAGACCCAACCCACTATGACGCTTTGTGCCTCCCCCCTCAGGTCAGCCCGCTTCTCTCCCCCACCCACCAAAAGTTCTTCATAGCACAGGGGAAGGGCCTTTGTGCACAGAGACATGGAATTTGGGGATCCCCAATCCTGTTGCTTAGAAATGACTATGTTTAACAGCCTTGATTTTTGGCTTAGAAGACTGAGACTTCAGATGGGAAAGAAATGAAATCTAAAAGCAGCTCCCTTCACCTCTCTGAGTCTTACTTTTCCAACCTGTAGCTTGACATAAGTGTCCCATAGTAGCTCTTAGGATCCCGGGACAGGCCATTGGGGTGAACCACACCCTCACTGAGATCTCCAGGAATTGCTGAGGAGACTGGGGAAGCCCCGCAAACTGCTTACATCCCAGGTCAAGCAGTCATGCAAGCAGACACTGAGCCCATGTCCCTTGTCTCTGGGTCAGACCCCTCCCTGGCCTCTCAAAAGACAGACAGACAACACAGGACAGAGCCAGAAGAGGAATCACTTACCTTGGGCACCATCAAACTTGGCTTTTTTGACTGTGGAGAAAGGCAGAGATAGGGAAGGGAGAGGGGGAGAGAGGTGGGGAGAAGAGAGACAGAGATAGGCACAGTGAAACAGAGATGAGAGAGAGAGAGAGAGAGAGAGAGAGAGAGAGAGAGAGAGAGAGAGAGAGAAGAGGCAAATATAGAAGGCAGAAGAGACAGAGACCACACAGGAAAACATAAAGAAATAAAGGTGGTGACAGACAGGAAACAAGGAGAGGAGGAGGCAGGGGCAAGAGGGAGAGAGAGAAGCCATCAGACAGATGAGCACAGGCAAACCGGAAGGAAATTTGGACTGGGAGCAGCCCGGCCCCTCCCTCTCCCTCGTGCCCATCAAGCGCCCCCTAAGTCGTAGCTGGGTTTTCATCCACAACTGAACAAGATTTCTTTTTAAAAGGAGCTGGGCAGGTGTGGAGAGACCTCCCACAGGAAGTCCTCCAGAATTGCGGCAGAGTAATGCAGGGGCCTGGGGGCGAAGAGAAAGGAGACACTTTACAGCGACCCCATCCCTCTGTCCTGTCCATGAGATTTCTTCCCTAATTGTCCAGCTCAGTTGGTCCCACCAAATGATTCTAGAGTTTGGGGCCCAATATTCAAAGGGGCCCAATATTCATAGGCACAGAGAGGCAGTCTTAGCTGAGGGTGTTAGAGCTTATGCAGCCCAACTCCTCTGGGAATGTGCAACCTGTGTATGTTGGGGTTCCACATGCATATGTCAGGGTTCCACGTGGGTCAGCCTCTTTAGCTTTCATGTAGCCCCACAGTCCCAGGGGACTTTCTCTTGGGATATTAAACTTTACTTTCAACACGTCTCCCATCCTGCTGCTGCCCCCCACCCGTCTTTCTCCTCCACACCTACCCAAAACCTGCTCTTAAATGGAACCCTTTTCTGCCTTTACAGTTCTTCTCCTTTTTCTTTTTTTCAAATGTGTGTGTATGCTTAGGCAATATGTGCACATTTTACAAAGTTCAAAGCAATCACAAGACTATGCAACGGGAAAGAGATAGGATCTTTTCTCCCCAGTTCTCTCCCTCCCAGGTGTGATCGACATTACCAATTCCTTGCACCAGAGAAAGACAGTCCATGCCCCACCAATCCTGTGCACAGGTACATTATTTTGTTTCCTACAAATGGTAGCATTTATAAGTGGTAGCTTTTAGAACCTTCATGCTTTTCCAATATGTTTTAAAGAGTATGTGTAACTTGAAGGATAAATTCCTAGTCGATAAATTATTTCTACTCTTTTGAAAGTCAAGGTTGTTGTTTATTGGGCTCTTTGTCATCAGAGATGTGGACCTCAAATGAAATGACACAGCTTCCCATTTCAGGTCTGAGTCTCTGTCCTTATCTCCTGAATTTTTCTCTCAAAAGCACCTTCATGAAGCCAGTAAATAAAAGTTCCCATCAAAGGCAGGGAAAGTGGCTTTAACCATTTGTCAGTGAATACTACTTGTTCCTTTAGATGACAGAAGGGGTATGTGTGGGGGCAGGGGGTTGGTGCCCAGAAGCACACAGTGAACTTCCCAGAGTTGCAGGAAGGGAGGGGGAAGAGCACCTCCCTGTGTCCAGGCCTACCTCCCACCAGAAAATGAGGAAAACTTAACGTGCAGCAAAAAGATTGGGCATTTTGCCCACCACACCTAGGTTTGAGTTTAGGAGGTAGAGTGGGAGTGGATGCTTGGTTGGGCAATGGGAGAGGTGAGAACAGGCTCAGCATGGGGTCAGCTGGAGCCAGGTTCAGCTCACATTGCTGTGTCACCCTGGGAAAATGCCCCATCCTGTCTGGGCTTCCCCCTTACACACACCCCCTTCCCCAGCCCCATTATTTTCTGTCTCCGTCTCGATCCCTCATGTCCAAAATCAGTCGCCATGGCCTGTCTTCCTCACTTTTCCAGATGTCTGCACAAGCATTCTCTTGAAGGAATGCCCAGTCTTGTCACTGCCCCCCTTTCACACCCTCAGCCCTACCCAGCCCCCAAGGAGCTTAGCCCCTGACCCTAGGAGTTTTCAGGAGTACTCCCTCTTTCCTGGGGAGCTCCAGTTTGTCAACCTGAGGATTCTACAAGGGGCTGGGAGGGAAAATGGTGAGAGAGACGCAGATGAAGGCTGAGAGGCATGCACACCCAGAGAGGCCAAAGTGGGATCAGAGGGAGGAAGAAGGGATGATGACAAGGCATGAGAGCCAGAGCCAGAGACAGAAAGACACACGAATTCCCACTAGGGAGATCAGGGAGGGCAGGTGCTGCTGAGAAGAGGCACAGTTGGGAGAGGAGCTGGACGGAGGAACCTGAGGTGGGGGAGGTGCCAGGCCCTGGAGGAGGGGGCAGCATCCGAGGGACTGACTGGCTCCGGCCTGGTCTAAGCCCCACCCTGCAGGGCCTGCTTGTGGTTCCCAGCAAGGCAGCTCAGAGGCGAGGCCAGCCATTCAAGTCTCCTCCAGCTTGCCCTGTGTTCTCTCCCAGTGTCCCTCCTCTAGGTTGTTTTTCTCCACACCCGTCACTGTCTTTCTCTTTCCCTCCCCTTTCTCTCCAGCTCTCTGTCTGCTCCCTCTCCTCCTCCCTAAGGTCGGTAAGGGGCTCACTAGAGGCCAGTGGCAGTGGAGGGGTCACTGCAGGGCTCCAACTCCAGCAGCAGAAGGCCAGGTGCAGGCCTTAAGGTAAGGAGGGAGGAGGAGGACACTGGGGGGTGGAGGAGGGCGCTCAGTGGGGAATCAGGTATTGGGGAGATGGAGCAGAGTGGAGAGGAGGGTTGGGGTGTAGGGATTTCAACACAGGATATGGAATGAGGAGCAGGCTAAGGGAATTGGCCCAAGATGAGGGAGGGGGTCTGCAAAGGGAAAGGGGGTGGAGAGTCTCAGGAGAGGGGCTCACAGATGGAGAGCGCTTGGTTGAGTTGGGAGTTCAGAAAAAAGTAAAATCAGTACTCCCTTTCTTGGTCCAAAGCTGTTGTCTTCAGTACTGCAGTCATCACGTCTTCCACCTGTCACCTCCTCCCACCCTGACCACACCAAGTTGCTGGGTTGCAGTATTGGGGTCAAAGGGGTGGAAGCATTACCCCTCCTCTGCGCGGTTCTGGTCACAAGCAAGCACAAGCACATGCACCGCTATTTATAGGGCAAAGAGCCGGCAGGGAGCAGCGGGAGAGGAAGGGGCCTGGGGGAGATTCCATCACACTGGGTCAGCAGTTTGTGCAGCTTCTGTGTTCCCTGGGGTTCCCATCAGAGCAGACTGATTAATGTAGTTGCACTGGCAGATGCTGGTTAGGGCAGAACCAGCAGAGGTGGAAGGAAGACTCACAAACATTGCCAGTCTCTGGGCCTCTCTTTCTGCATCTGGGAAATTGGGTGAGGTAGGGTTCGATGGTCTAATTTCCTTTTTCCAACCCTTCTTCCCTTTTCTCCCTGCATCTTCCACTCTTCTTCTTTCTTCATCAATTTTTAGCGCCAGCATTATTATACTATCATGACTGCTACTATTATTATTACCACGACTATTATTTTATTTTTATTATTTGGTTGGAATTGTAGATGTGCCCATAGCCTGCACCACCCTGGATTCTTATTGAGGTGGATGTCAGTCAGGGCATCTGGTCCATTACCTACTATACTTGGGGGTGGATATGTAATTGGGAGAGTAGTGAATTATAGTCATCAAGGGAGACACCTGAAAGTCCACCACAGGACTGTCAATTGGAATCAGAACATACTGGGAAGGAGAGGAAGAATTCAGAAATAGATTCTAAGATGTTTTGTAGTTTTACATGTTGTGTCAATAGAGGAAGAGGATTTTGCAATATGGACATTGGACCCACTGGCTTTGCATCCAGGAGAGAATAAATGAAGATTCTCACTCTTCATCAACAGAAGTAAACCAGAACACAATTCAGGCTCTTGGTGTAAAATACAAACTAACAAAACCCCAAAAATCTTGACAGTGTGTTTTTACTGGACAACGAATCTGTCTGATTACCAGGTACCACTTAGAACTAGGTCTGGTATACAGCAGGTACTCATTAGTGAGTCACTTAAGGGATGACTTCATTTCCTCCTCCTGCCACCCGGAGTTGAGACCTTCCACTAGAAGCGTGGTGTGCTGTCCACGGTTCTGAACCCTTGGTCCCTTGCTGTCCGCGGTGCTGAATACTCCATCACTGTAGAGTACCTCCGTGAACCCCTTTGTCCCCAATGTACTATGGAACCCTAGCCAGATCTGAGAACTCAGTCAGCTCTCTGGAAATGTCCTACCCATGGACCTACTTCCAGAAAGCTTTTAGTTCCCATTAATAAAAACACCATCATTGATTTTTCTTGTCTTTGACTTACACTTATGGAAACTTTCCAGGGACCAGGCCTTTTGCCAAGGGCTCTGCATGCCTCACCTTACCATAAAGGATGGTTCTACAAACTTGTCAAATGGTGCTTTTAATGCACCCATTCTATAGATTTGTACATGAAGGAATGAAGGTGATATAGGACTTTGATCCTTTGGTACTGGATTTAGGGATTTAAACCCAAGGCTCCTAGACTCAGAATGTACTCAGAAAAGAAGCCCATTGTATGTGGGAGGAAAGTGAGATCCATGTTAGGGAAGTGGCTGAGATTGCAGCTCTGGCTATGAGTCATCCTAAAAAGGGGGCAAGGGAACAGTCGTGATGAATTGGAGATCATGACATGTCTGATAATTGAGTGAAGAAGGCAATCCCTGAACAGATTCTTACCCTATAAAAGGGACTTAGAAAGTCCCTACACCTTGGCTATTGAAAGGAGACTCAACCTTCACCTGAATCCCGAATTCCAGTAGACTGTTGAATCTGGCAGCTACTCTTTTGGGTCAATGGCACTAGACAACTTGTTGCATTTCCCAGGTCCTCAACTTTTCTTATCTGTAAAATGGGTTGCTATGAGATTTAAAGAGGACAATGGGCAAAAATTCCTCAATAGCATGCCTAGAGAATGTTAGATAAATGGGGTTTGCTGTTGACATAGTTGAGAGACAAATTTGTCTTCATATAGTTGAGAGACAAATTTGCCTTCATATACATTTGCTAATTTTATGGAAACTTGAGTGGCCTAGCAAAATGCCATGAGGTACATATTATGGTCTAGAATGAATTCCCCATCCACCATGCTTTTTGCATGTGCTGTTCTTGCCATCAAGAGCACCTTGTTCCTACTGTTAAGCTCCCCATCCTCTCCTGAAACCGTGGCAAGTGATGGCGGGGGATCAAGCAGATATCTTAGAAAAAGAAAATCCTGGATGAGCCTTCCCCATCTCTATCAGATATTCCCCATCTCTCCTACTCTGCCTTCATCATCATGAAACCAGGAGTAGGAATGAGTCTCTGGTGCTAGAAATAGTGCCTGGCATATAGTAGATGCTCGATTAATGCTTGCTGAGTAAATGCATGAATTAATGATGGATGCAAGTGACATTTACCATTAGCAGCTTTGGGACTCTGGTAAGACCTGATAAGTGGGTTAGTGGGGTTGGGGGCAGTAGGGATAAAAAAATGAGTGGAGTTGGAGGCAAGACCTGTGCAGAGTGGTCTCCCTTGTGTTGGTGCAGGGTATGCATGCAAGAGCTTTCATTTATGTGTCTTTGTTCCTGTTATCAAAGTAGGCATTTGGTGTATATGTGTGTATGCATGAAGAGGTATGTTCATCATATGAGTTCATGTATATGTGCCAGGGAGTGGGAGATGACAGTATATGGGATAAGCTGCTATTTGAGTTTAAATATGTGCAGTTTCGTGGGTGATGTTAGACAGAAACACACAGTGGGATGGTGTTTATACACTTATATGGCATGTGTATGTTTTTACTTGTATATATGTATACACTTCTGGGAAGCTTATACATAAGAACGTGTTTGCATTTGTTATGATTCACATGTGCAAAGGACCGCTTTTGATGCTGGCAAGTGTCATGTGTGTACACATATAGCATCAGTATGTGTACACACATGTATATTTCTTGGGTTTTTGAGGCTCTAACTGGTAAAGATAGGTAGATGTCTGAGTATTCAGGCATGAGCAGATATGATGACATGGATATTGTGAGCACACCTCAAGCACATGTAGACACATCTGTGTGTTTACATGCACACACACCTATATTGCCGGGACCATGTTTGTGGTGGCACACTGTCCATAGAATGCTTGTGCATGTATTGGCATGTGCACGTGTCTCATGTATGTTCAGCCACAAACACAAAGTGGAGCTTCGGTGGATGCTGAGCATTTCTGATTACACGGCAAGACTGAGTAGGAAATTGCCAACTACGTGTATGCAGATATGGACAAACATGGGCGGGCTTCTGACTGAGGGGGCAGTTGTTTCCTTAGCTCCAACAATGAGCTCAGATCTGAGGAAAGTCCTCTCAACCTAACTCCATAGTGCCTTCTCATCTCCCCACCTCCCCCTCTACCCCATCCTCCTTGTCACCCCCCCTGGCTTCCCACCACTGAACATCTCCCCAACTCTCCTCACTTCTCCAGACCTCTTCTTCCACTTCCCCACTCTCCCTCAGTGTCGTTCCACTCCTCTTCCATCTCAGGGCTTTGCCCTCACCCCACCCCCAGTCTTGCCCTGCCTGCTAGTGACTCCTTCACTAGCTAGTGACTCCTTCTTTGTAAGTTCCACACAATCATCCAACACAATTCTTCCCCCAGGCCTCCAGTCTCAGGAAGCCTCATCCCTCTTACTGCCCCCCTTCACACCACCCCCGCAGCCCAGCCTCCTGTTTGCGTCAGAGTTAAGAGTGAGATTCTCCCTCCCAAGACACCACACACACACACACACACACACACACGCGCGCGCACACACACACACACACACACACCCACACGCGCGCCCGCGCGCGCGCGCGCGCGCGCGCGCGCGGACAAACCTTTCAGAAAAACCAGCTCAGAGGAACTGAAGCAGTTTAAAGTGGGGATGCAGCAGTCAGCCAGAACACCTGCAGGCAGCCCCCTTCTCCAGTGCCACTCTTACTACCAAGTGCTACTCAAGTTGGAGAAGAGGGAGAGGCCTGTAGGGGGTTAGTCTCTTCCCTTCTTTGTAAACTTAATCTGTGTAGACTGCATGGGGCCTCCCTTCACATTCCCACTTCCCGAACTCCATAGGCCAATGAATGGATAAGTCGACGTTTTATCTTACCAGGCCTTCTCCCACCATCAGCCCCGCCCATCCAGAACAAGCTCCGAAACAGGAGCCTCCTGTCTCTTTAAGAATACCCATGTCCACGCAGATCCAGCGCTGCGCAAACAGTACACGAGAAGCCAAGGAGGGAGCAGGCAGGCGGGGCTGGGCTGGGTTTGTGAATGGAGCGGCGGAGGGGGGAGGTGGCGGAGGCGGTACCTGGCTCCTGGACCTGTCCATCACGTCCAGGCGGAGCCCGGGTTCTGCTAGCACTCACGTTCTCATTCTCTCCGTTCTCTCTCCTCTCTGTCTCTCTGTCTCTCTGTCTCTGTCTCTCTCTCTCTTTCTCTCTCTCTCTCACTCATGCTCTCTCTCGCTCACGATCTCCTCTCGTTCTCTCTGTCTCTCGCTCTCTCGTGCTCTCTGTCTCTGTCTCTGTCTCTGTCTCTCTCTCTCCATTCTCTGCTGCCTAAAGGTCTTCCGAAGCCTCATATCTCAGGCTTAGCCGACACACCTCTCCCACCACCCCAAGGAATAGGGGTGAGGGGGGCGGAACCCTGTACTTAAAACCCACCGCCCAAGGTTTCCCAGGGACTGCATTCCCAGCAGGAGTGACCGAGACACCTGGGCGTTACTGGGCTGCTTCTACCCCACCCAGTCTCAGAGGTGGGGAGGGTCACTCCTGCCCCTCCCGCGTTTTTGTCCTCCCCCACCCCCCAACGCAGAGCGTGGGCCTGGGCGTGGGCCTCGGTGCAGATGGCGTTCTGGCCCCAAAATAGCTCCACTCCACCTCTCCCTCCCTCCCTTCGGTCAAAGTGGGTGAAGTGAGGATGGAGGGGTACAGGGGGGTGCTGCACTTCTGAGAGATCGACTCCCTGCGGAGAAGACCGGAAACACGTTTTGTAGCACCGGAGGGGACAGGGAGAGGGAGGCCTTCGTGCAATTCTTTCAGCCCCCACTCGGGAAGCCAAAAGAGTTAGCTGGAAAGGCGTCCTCGACCCCTCAACCACAGACCTCTCGGGATGTAGGGGTCTCTTGCCCCCCTGCCAGACCTCTCCACTCTTAGTGCTAGGGGATACCTAGAGTTCACGGTTGCCCTGACTGCTGAGCCCCACTACCCTAATCTTATATCTCAGGGCTTGGAGATTCCTTCCTCTGCACTCCTCTTCAAATTCTGAACCGGGTTGGAGTCCATGCGGACCCGCAGTTCAACCCATCAAACAGGACTCCTTCCAGGTAGCTTGCAGGATTCAAACTACCCAGATCAGCCCCTTCCACAAGGACTCCCTAGTAGCCTGGTCTACAAAGACTGATTCCAGGTAGAGCCCCCAGATCTCTGCCAGTGTCCACACCGACCTCCACATTCAGTTATGTTCACGATCCCCCCAGCAGCGACCACCAGGACCACCTACGTGCCCAATAGCGTCTGCATGGATCACCCCCGAAGGTACCCTGATGCGTCTACACAAGACTATCCCCTCAAAAGTCTAGCCGCGTGTGCTCGTGTCACCCCTTCAGGAGCCCAGCCGCATCCACACGGAGACGGAGCCCAGCCCGGGTCCACAAGGGCCCCCGCCCCTGCCCCAACCTCACTTCCTACCTCCAACGCAAAGTAGAGACATGTCTCCTGGATTGCCGGCGAGCCGGCTCTGTTGGATCTGTCTTAGTGGCCACTGAGCTGGGACATGGCCGGTGCTGCAGCCGGCGCTCGGCTCACGCCGGGACCCGGCCTCCGCCGCCGGCCATCTTGGTTCAGCACCGGGGGCGCGGACAGCTCCTGACGTGGCGCTGATGTGGGGCTGGCGGGTGGAGCCCAGGGACGCCTGATGGGGCGGGGGCGCTGCATGCTGGCAGAAGTGGGGGGGTGTTAAAGGGCCGGGGACAGGTGGTGCTCCTTGCCCAAGGGTTCCTTGACCAGAGGGATAGAGGGCGCCCCCAATCAGATCCTTCTGGTTCTGCTTATTTTCCTCTCTGCTTGAGTCACCAAGTGGGTCCTTAGGTTTTCTCTTTTCTCAGTCTTTCTGTTTCTCTGCCACATCCTGTCTAGGTCTCTGTCTGTTTCACTCTAAGTCACTTAGCTTGTGGATCTTTGCACACACTCAGACTGGATCACATCTTTCATATTCATGTGTAACTGGAAAACCCCTAATCATCCATTAAGGCCCAGTTTAAACATTCCTTCCTCCAGGAAGCTTTTCCTGAGACACCCCCCCCCCAAACTGAGCCTTTACTCTACCTTTCTGGACTGCCTCAAATCCCACCTCTTCCTCTGGTTTTGGCTCTGATCTCAATACCAGCCCTGCTTACTATTTCTGCCCACGCATAGAGCGAGACAATTCCATGTGAGTGGTTCCTTGCAAAACTGTACTGTATCTCCAGTACCAAGATCAGTGCCCGAGACTAAGCCCCACAGAGTCACCAGCCCCTGACACATGTGAAGTAGCTTCATGAACATAACATAAATGAAGTTAGTAGTGGAGAGGTTTTTTAAAAACCCAACTTTAATCATCAACATGTAAGTCACACAATCTATTCTGTGCCTTGGTTTCCCTTCCTGTAGAATGGAGATTATAACAGGTCCTATACTCCGAGTCCCAAGAGATATTGCATAAATTAACACCTAATACGTGTAAACACCTCCAATTTTGTGATTTCATTTCACTCTATTTAGGAGTGATTTTCTAAACAAAATCTCCTAGCTTTTAAATAAACTTTACTTATTTGCTTTGGGACATTTTTAGATACACAGAAAAGTTGTAGGGGTACAGAGCTGTTAAAGCTTCAGAGTTCCTGTAAGCTCTTTGTCCAACTTCCCCTAATAATAATATCTTACATGTGGTTACTGCGTACATATATCAAAACTAAAACATAATCTTTAGCTTTTACTATTAACAAAGTGGCAGTTCATATTTCACTAATTCACTGATTGTTCTCTCTCTGGTCCAGGATCCTACATTGTATTTAGTCTCCTTCATCTCTGACTTATGAATTTCTACTCTTTATTTTTTTTAAAAGATTTATTTATTCGTACAGAACTGGGGTACAGGCCAAGATGCGGAGGTTGAGAGGATTCACCAGGGAAAGAGTGGGGAGCAGAACAGACAGATCGACGAAGTACACTGCTGAGGGGAGCAGCGGGCGGGTCAGGAGAGGTCTGCCAGCCATGTGGTCTCCTCCAGGGCAGGCGGGAATCAAACTCATGCGGAAGTGGCTTAAGCTTCTTAGTGCTGTGCTTTAACCCGCTGCGCCACCAGGGAGGGCCCGCTACTCTTTATTTTTAATAACCTTAACACTTTTGAAAAGTTCTGATCTGCTATTTTTCAGCCCCTTTAGCCCCTGACAACCACTAATTTGCCTTTAGTCTCTATAGATTTAATTTTAAACTCTTAGACTGAATAACCTTTTCCTTTGCAAAGTATCCACTCTATCATGATTAAGAATAAGCCACAAGGCCCTCCCTAGTGATGCAAAGGGTTAAAGCACAGCACCAAGAAGCTAAAGCCACTTCAACATGAGTTCTATCCCTGCCCCTGGAGGTGACCCACATGGCTGGCAGACCTCTCCTGACCCGCCCACTGCTCCCCTCAGCAGTGTACTTCATTGATCCGCCTGTTCTGTTCCCCAGTATGTCTCTGGTGAGTCCTCTTACTGCCCCTGCAGCTCTGACCTGTACCCCAGCTCTGTATGCATAAATAAATCTTTAAAAAGAATAAGCCACAGTATCATAAAGATATTCTCAAAGTATCTTCTAAATTAAAATTTTGTAAATGACAGTGAAATCTTGATTTCTGTTAGAATGGATCTGGTGCAGATTGAGATAAATGCAACTGCATAGATCTTTTCTTGTGGAAAAGGAGAAAGGTATTGTCCCAATAATGTTTTTTTTTTCTGAAATGATTTTACTTCATTAGTGGTATACACCCTCTCTCTTTCTCTCTCTCTGTCTCTGTCTCTCTCTCTCTATATATATATGTGTGTGTGTGTGTGTGTGTGTGTGTGTCTGTGTATTTAGAATTTAAAAGCTGCTTTAATGCCTTCTTTTTATTTCATTTTAAAATAATATAATAGTTTATTCTTGTATCATTTTGTGCCTTTTTCCATTTCAGTTGTAATCCCCATGGGCTTCCCATCACCAAATCACCCATGTGTATTACTATAGTCCAGTGCATGCCCCTTTCCCCCCATTTTTGATCCCATTCCCCACTCCACCCCTGTAAAATGTCCCTGTTATATAGTTGTTTATTATTATTATCTTTTCCCCCTGGTCCTTCATGTTCCTGCTATGGGTGAAACCATCCTGTATTTTTCCTTTTCTTTCTGGCTTATTTTACTAAGCATGTTCCCTTCCAGCTCCATCCATGTTGCTGCAAAAGGCATACATTTACCCTTTTTATTGCCAAGTAATATTCCATTGTGTATATGTACCACATCTTCTAATCCAGTTATCTACTTTGTCCTAATACCATCTAATAAAACCATCACAAGGCAAGTTTCCATATGTGTATGGAGGCAATAGTTGGGCGGCACAGAATGTGCACAGTGCTGTTGATGTCTCACCCAGGGTTCTGCTCTTCTCGTCTATTCTGCAGCCATCTAGCCCTGTCACTAAGCTTTATACTCTTATGTTTTTATCCTTGATATTAATGAATAATGTCACTCACCACATTCTTTTCTCCTTTTTCAGGAGCATCTGGCTTATTCTTCACTTTTCTCTTGCTTGTTGGTTTCCATGGGGAAAGCTAGTTGGTACAGGGGTCGTGAGAGGATTCACCAGAGACAGAGTAGGGAGCAGAACAGGCAGATTGACATACACTGCTGAGGGGAGCAGCAGGTGACACAGGAGAGGTCTGCTGTGCCATGTGGGTCACCTCCTTGGCGGGGACTGAACTTGTACAGTGCTGTACGTTACCCGTTGTGCCACCAGGGAGGCCCCCATTTGCTTATTTTTCAATAAAGCTTCCAACTTCCTCATAAAACTCATGCACATCTTTGCTTTTGAGATGTATTTTTAGATGCTATATTATAGATAAATGATCTTTGGGGGATTACCTTTCTTAAAAAGACTACAGCATACATTTAGCTCTAGCATCTAAGGAGTGTTCTTAGTGTTGTGCAATTCCAGTAATGATACCTGTATGTTATTTGTGGTTTTAATTGTATGCAACTATGTCATCTGTAAATGAACATACTTTCATTTCTTCTTTTCTTGTCCTTAATGTTTCATTTCTTTTTCCTGCTTTAATGCAAAGGACAAGATCTTCAGTGCAATCTCAGCACCAAACCTTGGCTCATTTCAAAGCTATTAATTTGAGTTGTTGCAAGTAAATAAATTGATTATTTAAGCCATCCTTATCTTACCCCCCTACATTAAAGAGAACATTTCAGCATTTATCATTAAATATGAAATCTGCTGTAGGAGTTAATAGAAAATCAAGCAAAGAAGATCCATGTCTATCTCCAGTTTGCTAATATTTTTTTCTTTTGCTAAAAAGGATGAAGAGCTTTCGCAAATGCATTTCCTTCATCAATTGGAATACTAATATAACTTTTGATCTTCAGTCTGTTCTTGCAAATTATATTCTCCCAACATGTTTCATATACATTGCTCTCTTCTGTTGTCTGTTTCTTTTACCCACACCTCGTCTTTCTCATTCTTCCAAAGTCCTTGATTAATTTATTACTCAGGTCCAATAAATTTTTAAGCTCTGGGGCCCTATTTTGCTCCCTCGAATGCTTAGCTCCTTAGCTATTTATTAGAGAGGTCTCAATAAATAAACTTATTACTAAAGCCACAATTCTCCCCTTCATCTTTCTCTTCCTGTCTTCTTTGCAGCTCCCTCTTCCTCTGGCTTTTCACGTTATACATCATCCCTCTTAGATCTCTTTTTCTCTCTTGGTTTCTGATGTCTCACTCTCTCTCCACCACCTTATGAATCCTACAGAAAAGAAAATAATTGAAAGGGAAGCAATGGGAGAGCGTGCACAGACTGGTGTAAAGTACAGCCTGCACAAATGCAAGGAGGGCGCCCTGCCCCCACCACAGGCACAGACAGCGGTCCTGGCCACCCCCTGGGGCCCTGCTCTTATCAAACCTGCCCATCCCCTATGCCCATAGCAACTATGAAAACATCTGGCACGAAATGAGGAAGTTTCCCTCCACAGCTCTGCTGAACTCAGGTTCCTGAGGGCCTATGTTTTTTAATGGGGAAGTGGCAGGGCTTTTTCTAGAAGCCCCAACCCAGGGGAACCCTTCTAAAAATTTTCTTCCTTACCAAGTACATTGATGTTTCTGGTACTATGTGAAACTTCACAGAGGGGATGGGTATGAATCAGATGTCAATCAATTTGTTCAGCAAACATTTGTTGGCACCATCTGGATGCTGGGAACAATTCTCATCAGGTTCCACCAAGTGACATGGTCCTTAGCATGAGAGTTAGAAGCAAGCAAATAAGCACTCAGGGAAGACATTAAGGAAAACTGGAGGAAAACAAGGAGAGCACCATGAAAGAGAGGAATGGTGGAGGAGTGGGTAACTTCCACCTGGGTGAATCAACACATGGGCTGAGAGAAGGAGCTAGGTATGGGGAAGAGAGCAAGAATGCAGGGGTGTCCCAGGCAATGACAGAGCAGGTACATAGGCCCTGGGGTGACATGCATACCTGATGTGTCAGAGGAAAACTGAGGAGGCAGGTGTAGGTGGTAGTTTGGGAGAGAGGGTGTATGGGCTGGGGCTGAGGAGTCTTGAAT